ATATGGTGCTACAGGATCTCCCTGACGACATCCTCTTTGGATATTAAACTGTTCAGATAAAAATCCACATTGAAGAACAGATGCACAAAATTCTGTATTTAAAATTGTTACCCATTCAATAATGTTTTTACCGAATCCAAAAAATTCTAATACTTTATACACAAAGGTCCAGGATATTGAATCAAAAGCTTTTTCAAAATCTATAAGTACAAGCAACCCCGGTATATTTCTAGATTCAGTGTAAGCCATAAGATCATAAAGAAATCTGGTATTTTCACCTATGTATCTTCCTTTTAAAAAGCCAAGTTGAGTATTTGATATAATATTGTCCAGGGTGGATCTTATTCTATAACTAATACAACCTGATATAAGTTTATAAAACACATTTAAAAGTGTAATAGGCCGCCAATTTTTCAGAAATTCTGCTTATCACCTTTTGGTAAGCATGTAATTATCCCTAGTCTTTGAGAGATAGGGAGTTCTTTTTTCTGAAATACATCATTTATGGCAGGTACTATTAAATGTTTCAAATCTGACCAAAAAAATTTAAAAAATTCAGCAGTGAAACCATCACTTCCCGGTGATTTATTGTTTTTCATATTTTTTAACACCTGTAAGACTTCATTTTCCATAATATTTCCCTCAAGTGATTTGGCAACATGATTATCAAGTTTTGGAACCTCAGTAACTGTAATAATTTCTGCCAGATCTATATCGAGAAGTTCTGCGTCTGCAGAAGTATACAGTGATTTGTAATACATCCTAATTCTGTTTAAAATTTCTGATTGATTGTAAATTACCTCGTTGTCTGTTTTAATCTTTTTGATAATCTTATTTAAATAGTTACGGGATTCTAGTTTACAAAAGTATTGAGATGGCTTTTCTCCATCTTCAACCCATCTGGCTCGAGACCTTATAACATGACCTTGTAGCTTTTCTTTTCTCAAATTCTCAAGATTTGTTTTTTTCTCTTCTATTAACTGTAGATTCAATATATTCTCTGCCTCTAATTTCTCTATTTGTGCAATTAACAAGACTTCTTCTTTATCTTTTTCTTTCTTTCTATATGACGAATATGAGATTGTAATTCCTCTAATCTCCATTAAGAGGACTTCAAGAAATGTACTGTTATCCATATCATCTATAAGCACATTATTCTTTTCATATTGTTTTCTAATAGACTTTATTGTTTCTTTCACCTTGTTAACATATGTTATGTCTGTAAGTAAAGAGTTGTTAAATTTCCAGAGACCTTTTCCTTTCTTAAAGGTATTAAATTTTATATCAAGAACCACTGATGAGTGGTCCGATCTGTACCCTGGTTTAATTGCTAAGTTTTCAACCAAATTACACATATTTTCAGAAATTAAAAAATAATCTAAACGTCCTTGTTTCACTGGATTTTTCTTCCGCCAAGTAAACATTTTTAAGTTTGGATTCAAAATCCTGAAATAGTCAACTATTTGTAAATCATTCATAATTTCTAAAAGTTTTTCTCTCCCCTTTGGATTGTTAATGTTACAATAATTTTCTGTATCTATTGATGGGTCAAGAGCCAGATTAAAATCACCGCATAATATAAAATAATCATTGTCAAGCTCTAATAAAGTTTCTCTTACTAACTCATAAAACTCTGGATTATCTGTGTTTGGTCCATAGATATTAATTAAAGTAACTTTATTATCCTCGATTGTCATATCGAGAGCTAATAGATTACCATTAATGTCCTGTTTCTCCCTGTGAATCTGAAATTCAAAATTGTTATTAAACAGAATGCATACCCCTCTTGAGTTTGACTTGTACGAAAATATTAACAGTCAGCTTAACTGCACGTCCAACAATGTGAGATACCAACCATAATGGGCAACCCAATCGAATGCTTGGGGAAATGGCCTGTGTCTCTCGTGAACAGGAGCAGAGTGAAGGACCTTCAGATACAAGCCCAAACGGTAGTGGCTAACTGGGGAAGTACAAAGCTTAGATGTACAAGCATGGAATTTACCCAGACTTATGTGTTTCTTCTGAAACGTAAAAGTCGCGACTACAAAAGATGAAGTCATAGTGTGGCACGTTAATGGCTATCTAAGGAGATGACTGGGAATCCCATTATCTTTTACGGCAAATATACAATAGAACACATCATGCCAGTCACTGTTGTCATCTGTGGTGGGGAAAAATCACGACAGCGCCTAGTCACGACAGCGAGGAACTCGGCAAATGTAAAATGCGTTCTGGCGGGCGCCCAGACTCGTACAAAAAGGGAGTTGTCGGCAACAGTATCAGTGGATCAAGCAGAGAACATGCTGCACATACGGGATATTTTCGGAAACACGTGTACCGGAGGGCAAGGTGTGGGCATGACGCACTCCAGCAGTATAGGCAGCAACTCCGGAAAGGCGAAGCATGGTTCAAGCAGGAGTGAGATATTCTGAGGAAAAGCAAAGGCAGCAGAGGTAGGATCACCGAGGTCTGGAAGAAGTGGAAGGAACCAAATAGACAAGTGACATGGTCGAAATTGTGGAGAGTTAAGAGTTGCCTTTTTGTGTATGACATGCCTCCATCTCCACCCCCATCTTTAAATTTTAGGGTCTCAGGATCATCACTGTAAATTTATGGAATAAGATGGACTAGGTCACATAAATGTATTTTTTCATCATACCAGGTATCGCTGATTCAGTAAAGGTACAGATGGATACATGACAAGGTACTGCGTGACTTGGCTGTTGTGCTGTAAGTGAAGGAAAGGGAGAAGGAGGAAAAAGCCTGGAAAATTGAGGCAGATACAGATTATGAAATGCCTGGAAAATTGAGGCAGATACAGATTATGAGAGTTGGGGAATCAAAAACTAGAAGCAGAGGAAGATCAAAATCGTTGATGGACAGAGGGTTAGACTGGGAGTGGAGAGTGGATCTCGTTCCCCGACATTATGGAAACATGCAGTATCTATGTACTTTTTGGAGGTCAGGCCCTCCAACAATCTGTTGAAATTCTCATGGATATCAATTGCGCCCCCTTATTAGCAGACCTATTTTTGTATTCATATGAAGCAGAATTTATTCAGAAACTTCTACATGAGAAGCAAAAAAAAAAAACAAACAAACAAAAAAAAAAAAAACACTTGCTGAGGCCTTCAACTCGACATGTAGATATACCGATGACGTATTATCAATTAACAATAGTTACTTCCATTCATATCTCGACTCGATATATCCCAGTGTGCTTGAAATAAAAGATACCACAGAGTCTGACACATTTTTTCCTTATTTCGATATTTTACTCGAAAAAAAACTTTAATTGTAACCAAACAACAAAGCTTCATGATAAACCTGATAACTTCAATTTTTTAATCGTCAACTTTCCTTACTTATGTATAAATATACCCTTATCGCCTGTATATGGGTTTTTTGTCTCCCAGAAGAGTATGCTCTACGTATGAACAATTTCAAAACGAGGCAGCCATTGACAAACAAGTTGATGAAATGAAGATATCAACAGTCTCGTTTGAAGTCATCATTTCGCAAGTTTTTTGGTCGATACAATTACCTTGTCAGCAAATGCAACCTATCATTAAGTAAAATGCTGACTGACTTTTTTCATACTAATTGTTAAGCCATTATTTACACACTAAATTGTTTACGGATTTTCCCGGGGTTTTTTTCCCGATCATGAGAAGGAGCACCGGGCGTGACCGGTCGGCAGGGGATGCTCACTCCTCCATGACACCTGATCCTACCTTTTGGAGGTCCGTGTTTGCTCTGCTGCCGATTAGTACTGGTTTAAGTGGACTTTGAGCTTGAATTGCCTTCCTTATCTCCATATTTCATTACCTCTAGACAGTCAAATACTAACCGCTATAGAGCTGAGCGTACCATATGGGAGGAACAGTGCAAGGGAGCTCTCAGAAAGTCTCAAGTATCGAGACCTCATGGCGGACTGTCGGGATGGAGTGTTGGGCAGTTTGCTGTAGAAGTTGGACGCAGAAGGTTCCAAGAATCGGTGTTAAGGCTTTTCCAAAGATTGTGAGTATTTGAGACAAGAGATAAACAGCAGTAATTAGACTAGAGGAGGCGGTAGAACATCATGCTGGCTGTGGCCTCATTGATATGATCCGTAATTATAGCCGGAATTTATCGAGAAGTGGATTGGCCACTAATACTGACATCCCCCAGGAGGATGTGTTGTTTGGTTTTGAAACAGCATCTAAAGAATGGTTTGGACCATCTTATGACGACTGGAACCAGCAGACAAGCACATGGACGGATATTGGAAGTTACAGTAACGGATGCTATTCATGGCCATAGGAACCGGGGGCACGGGGGGGGGCGTGCCCCCCCCCCCCAATAATTTTGCCGATGTATAGAATACTACAGAAAACATAGCTACTATATACTTGTGCCCCCTCAATAATAACGTCTAATGACCTTTTTTTTTTGGTAGTCGATAGTGCCCCCCCCCAACTGAAAATCTGAATATGTATGGTTGTGCCCCCCCCCCCCAAATGAAATTGCTTCCTACGGGCCTGCTATTATCGAAGCTTTGATCAGCAGAGTAACATCCTCTGCAAGTGAATACTAGTTCTCTGCAAATCGCTTTCACCAGCGAGATAGTTTCTTTAAGATACATTCCATTTCATTTCTTTGTATACAAAAATTTTCTGTACATACACATGTTTTTGTCTGGAATTTTATATGCAGTATACAAAATACAATTCAGTAATCACGGAAGTCTAAAACTTTTGGATTTCATTTATTTTCTTAAGATTTCTCTTTTTATGCTTTTCATTGTTTACACCCGAAAATACGTAAGAATAGACAATTTAGTACATGTACTGGGCACTTAAAGATATTTTCTTTATAATTCCATTTTGAGCCATGCACCTGGAAAAAGCTTGGATCATTCTAAAATCGTGGAATTATGTTTATTCAAACATAATGAATGTCGTACTTCTAGTTCCTCGTACTTTAGAAACTTAAGGACTCCAATCAGCAATTTAAATCCATGGCCTGTTTTTATTATTCACTGAAGTGGAATAAATTATGTCACTTAACAATGGGATTTCGTTACGAGCTTTTCCATAGCTTGATCAATGGAAAATTCATTGCATAAGCCGTAAATAAAAAATCTAAGGCGGAAGTTATTATGGGTGTAAATCTGAGACAATTGTTTTCGAGATTGTCTACTTGTTTGTAATCCGTAGGAATCTCAAATAGCAGAGCATTTCTAGACCCCGAGCAGGTGCACTTTGGACTTTCGTAAAGCCGCAGTGATAGCATTGGGAAAAATGTCGACCAGACGAAAGCTTGGATATTATATTTCACTTGTGGTTGTTTTTCTTTTACTTGCTAGACTGTGTTTTCCATTAGTCGTATTCCTTCAAGAGAATTTGTCCACTGGGAGTTTGTTATGTGCACTTTGTTTAGGTTTGGCTTTCATTTTCTTTCCCGTGTCTTCGGGTACAGTTTCACCACAGGATAAGGCAGTTCTGATTACAGGTGAATATTATTTCAAATTGAGTAAACACTAAAAACAATTTATAACTGTCCTGATCTGATTTCTTTGTTAAATTTTCTCACATGCAAACTTGCCAAAAATAAAATACTTGTGTTTATTCATCTGCTGGGATTAAATTCACATAGGTGTGTTATAAAATCCTTTAACCCCAAGATGAGATATCACAATTATCTAAAAGAAAAAAACCCAAAATCTAACAGGTTTTAAGAGCTGTGGTTACAAATCCTTGTACTGATATATATGGGTTGAAATGGTTCATTGCAGGAGGTGCAGAGAATGTTGTTTAAAAAGTTTTTGGGTTTAAATTAATAATTTCATAGTTTTTAAGCTCAACTCTGGAAATTTTATTGTCGAATTAAATTTCATGAATATTTACATTTTTACATCAATTTATTATGACACATGCTATTAACTGTATACAACGTTTAGTGTTTTACATTTATCCTTGCAAGGCTGTGACAGCGGTTTTGGCCACAGTTTGGCTCTGAATTTGGCCAAAAGAGGATTCACTGTTTTTGCTGGTTGTTTGTTTTCGGATCGTGAGGGTGCACGTAGTTTGAAAGAAAGTTCCAATAACATACACGTGGTGCAACTGGACGTTACAGATGATTGGCAAGTCCAAAAAGCCGTGCAGACCGTCAAAGAAAATCTAAACGGGAAAAGTGAGTTTGTTTTTTATGAAACCGACATTATAAAAAATATCAACTAGAAAATATAAAACTGAACAGTACGAAAAACAATAATAACTAGTAAAACAAAACTATATATCTTTTAACTAAATACTTAGTTTTAAATTCTTCAGCCGACATTAATTTTACGCAAAATTCAGACCTAACCTATATTTATTTATGGTTATCTTAAATCTGAAAAGTGTTGTACTACTCTAGGCCCTACAGTCATAAACAGAGAACAGATCTCGGTCAACACTTCTTACTAAAGCTTAGTAAATTTTCTATTGAGGGGTCTCTTATTTGATATTTTTTTTTCATTCACATTTATATAACAATGTTACACATCTACAATGTATTGACTGGCCTTTGAATAGTTATAAAATTCAGAATTAAATGAATTCGAAAATTTTGACTTAAGTAATTCTCATTTTATGGGTTTTGGTCATAAAAAGTTGCATAATTTTCGTTTAAAAGTACTGGGCTATTAAGCATACTTTTCAAAGGAATAATAACTGCTGATTCACTATTCACTTGATATTCTGTAAATCAAAATTATATCGTAATAAAATTAGTAAACAAGTTTATTGGAACAAGCGAGTATGTGATTGTCGTTATTGGTTGTCTTCCGTGATTTTACTAATTATATTCACTGTCAACAACTATGTACATACAAAAGTATATTGATGACATTCTTCTCCCTCTGCAAGGCCTGGGAAAAAAGACTCTATGAATTATTCATAAAACAACATTGAAGATATAGGAACGTGATCTGCATATCTGTACTTAATATAGCCTTTGTATATACAAAGAAGGGTCAGATTAAGAAAATGAGAATAGACCATTTACTTCACAGCTTTGAGCAAAACTTTTTAAAAGTGATTTCTGTATGATACAATCGTTTTTTATGATACATGTACTTAAAAATCATTGGATACACCACTTCATGAAAAAGTATAAAAGAAATAGGTGAACATGGCGTGGAGAATGCCTATAGCTTCAGATTTATAAAGATCTTATTCAATGTGTGAATTTAGTATTTACAGTGAAGTTCTCATTATTAAAATTTATGAAATTATGATAAACAAAACTTTTCTGAGGAAAATTTTCTCGGCAAAATTTTTTCTGCTATTAAAATAATGTGCCACTCGCGGGATTCGAACCCCAGCAATAAAATTCCTGAGTATCATTTTCCATTAAGACCAACACGCTAACAACTACGCTACACAACTCTTGATGAATAGTGGCATTTAAATCATGTTTGCGATACGACCCTTGACTAAACCAACCTCAAGTATTTCTCGGAAAGATGCGAGTGTTGTGTCATAAGTGTATTTTTAAGGTATAGTGGGTCTTTGCTCCATGTTTTTGTTAACCAAAAGAGTGCCTTTTTACGCAAACTTTAAGGACAAACTATCAAAAAAAAAATATATAGATCGAAGACCCACTCATATCGAAAAATTGCGTTAGAGTATGCGAAAATGATCCTTTTTGTCCTCCTAAGTGTCTGTATGCTATTTCATAGGCAAATTATTTCAATCTTTGTTAGATTTTTTGCAAATTTTGAAGAGGCATTTCGCTCGCCTTGTTCGCCCATCTTCTTTGACATTGATAAATGTAATTTTAATACAGGGAATATAGGACTTCACAATTTACGTACATTGTGTATCATTTACATGAATCCAGGGAAATTCGGTTAATTGATTAAAAAAAAAAATCAGTTTGCAATAAACATATGTAAATAAACAGACAAAGCTTTGAAAATTAAGGTAACAAAACCAGACAATTAGCAACATTTACATCTACACGTGAATTTAGTCGATATGTATCTGAAGATAAAAAGGAAAAATATAACTGATTTAAGATTTTATTTCAATCAAAAATGTTCTTTAGTTGAGGTTATATTCCATTAGATATCCAAAGAAAATAAACAGGTTTGAACAATGTATCTGTCGGAATATATCCAAAATTTTGGATATTTCAGTAAGATTCTATTAATTTCGCCATTTATACTTACCAGTTTTATGGTCACTGGTTAACAACGCTGGAATAGCAACATTTCAGGAGATAGAATGGTGCTCAGTTATGCAGTTTCAGCAAATAATGGATGTCAACGTCATTGGCGTTGTCCGGGTTACCAAAGCGTTTTTGCCGCTTCTTCGCGATGGAGAGGGGCGGGTTATTAACGTAGCAAGTCTGGCTGGTAAGAAAAAGAAATATTCAGTCTTAATGTAGCCCTTATATGAAATTCAAAATAACTCCCAATGACGCAGTCAAATGATTAAAATATAGCTGTTTATCAATATATCTTTCCTTGAACGGCTCGACGTCTGTATTTGGTCTTATACGACTAAAAGCACTTAAAACATAAGCTGCATGTACAATTCAGTATAATTAACATAGCAAACAGAGGTTATATCTTAGAGAATACTATAATAGGAGATCATATTTAATGTAACTTTCAGTTATCATGTTCGAAGCACGATCGGCCTGAAATTGGCTATTTGCTTTGATCCACTGACTATGCTACATCTGAAGTTTGTATCGTAGTTTCTGTACATAGGAAATAGGCCTATAAACAAACTTATAGTTTTATCATTCATAGGCGTTGGAAGCAAATTGAAAGTGAGGGGTGGGGGCCTAATCGCATTGGCAGAAGTATGAATTAGAATTCAATCAGCAATAACTATTCCGTAGAGACTGATTAAAGTTTTAGTTGTCATTCTTTTTCAACAAAGGTACAGAACTGGTGATTTGGATATAGAGGGAAGGGGTACATGTAAATTTGAAACGAGTTTCTGTCAGTCATACTAGATACATTATTGTTCTGGGACTTGATCATTTTCGTTTGCCTACTAGCGCGAAATATTTTAGCATTTCCCCACTTTTTGTAGGTCGTTTAACTGTACCGGCCTTCGCTGCATACTCAATGTCAAAGAAGGCCTGCATAGCCTTTTCAGATGGATTACGACAGGAAATGGCTAAATTTGGTGTCAAGGTCATCACTATAGAACCCGGATTGTACAGGTTTGTCCAACAACATTGAAAAGTGAAACATGTAACATACATTAAGCATCATCAGACAGTTAAATCTGTACCCTTTTCGTGCGAGACTTTCAAAAATAACCACGTCTTTATTTTAGGACGCCCATTGTTGAATCGGATTACCTTATCAACGCCAACCGGAAGTCATGGGCTGAAACTCCATCCGAGGTCAAGGAGGTGTATGGAGAGGAATACTTTGATGCATTCTGTAAAAGTATCTCTACGCACATGAGTCGAGCACGTAGTAGTGTTGGGGAAGTCGTTAAACAAATGGAAGAGGCTGTCACATCAGCCAATCCAAAGCATCGTTATGTTCCATATTGGATGTCAAACTTAAGGGCCAGCATATTGGGAATTTTGTCAGATGAAACTAGGGACAAGTTCTTCCTGAATGCATATAAACTACCCACAAAACCGGCACAGACACCTAAAAGCCTATCAAGGCAAAACTCGGCATCACCCACACTTAATCTAACCCTGAAAAATGTTTTTAGACAAAATTCAGAGAAGTCATGAAGACTTTATGAACAATATTGTTTAAAGGTGTTCCACATTTTAAACAAACACTCTTTTTTACTCTGTTGATAAGTTTCAGTTCAGGAGTTATTTACATTAAGACACATATCTTTCATATATCTCGGTGGTTGTGACGTAAGATTTGAAGTCAACATTATATAATTTTTAGTGATCATGTTTGAAAACAGTAGTGTGCTAGCTAGATTTTAGGCACGATATTTTTCATTTTTGTAATACCGGTTTTATTTTTCATTTTTGTAATACCGGTTTTTTTATTGTGAATTATATATTTTAGCTCACCTACCAGAAAAATATAAACTTAATATATGAAAGCTTCATTGCATAATGTAAATTCAAGGGTTTTTTTACTGTTTAAATCATGACCCCGGGGTAGTGTCGGGCCGAAATAAGAGATCAAAGTTTTACATTGAAATACATATATAGCAGTCGCCCGCGTGGCGCAGTGGTTAGAGCGTCTGCTCTAGAGTCGCGAAGTAAGGAGTTGATCCTTACGTCGCGGGTTCGAATCCCACTGTGGGACGTGGAAACCGGTCCTTCGGATGAGACCGTATAAACCGAGGTCCCGTGTCGCAGTAGGTGCTGGCACGAAAAAGATCCCTCACTGCTCAATGGCCGTAAGTGCCGAGTATAGGACAAAATTTGCAGCTCTCCACCGGCAAGTGGTGGCGTCTCCATATGAGTGAAAAATTCTCGAGAGAGGGCACTGAGTTTTACAGGGGAGTATTAAGATAGAAATATTTTCAAGAGTGTCAAGACCACTCTAACACTCTAAATCATATTTATAAGTAGAACATACCTAAGTTGTGACGATCCTGGGGCTAGGGTTGGGTCAAATTCAGAGATCCAACTTTTACACATGTATGTGAACAGAGCAAAAAATGTTCAGAACAGCAAGACTATGTTGATAATACTGAGGTTGTTGTTGTGGGGATTCAACTTGGATTAAATCAAAAATTCCCTAGGGCTAGATTTTGGAGTTCATTTTTATGAAATTGAAGGGAATTTAAAAAAAAATTGCTGAAGAAGAATACCAGAGCCAAAATTACTCAGGTGAGGGCTGTGGCCCATGGGCCTCTCGTTTAATTTTGCGGTTGATTTTTTGTTTCCTTCTTGGGTAAATATGTAACTAGGAATGTTTTGATTGTAAAATGTGATACAATGCAATTGTTTCTCTATTGCAAATTTGCAATATACACTTATGTATGTATACACTTATGTATGTATGGGAAGTTAAACTGCTATAAAAAACTTAATAATTAAAAGCATATATGAAAAGTAAAATCATAAAAATGAAGTTAAGAATTTGGTCATCGTGAGCGAAATTAAAGTTTGAGCTTCGTAACAGCTACAATAAATAAATAGGAAATATATAGCATAGGCCCGTAGAACACGAGGGTCCGCCCCTTTTTGTGTCTATTCTTTTGCTGCAGTTTTAATGTGTAAATTTTCATTTATATGCTGGTTGCCTCCCCCCCCCCCAACCAACTTTTTTTTCTGTAATGTCGAACACACCCCGAACCCCCCCCCCCCCCCCCACACACACACACACACATGAAATAGGATTTTCGAGTTTAGAAACTTTACTCTTTTTTTCCTTGCTTGTCAGATTTTTTTTCTTTTGAGAGGTTGCCCGCCCTTTTTTAAAAACCGTTGCTACGGGCATGTGTCAACAACGATGGTAACATGATAGGTAAATATCAGGCGTTCATTAACAGAGAAAGTAACATTACAGGTAAATGTCAGACCAATAGTAACAGTGATAGGAACAGTGACAGTAATATTGCAAGTAAATGAACAATGACAGTTACATTACATGTAAATATCAGACCTATAGATTAAGCAGCAGTAACTTTATATGTAAATATCAGACCTATAGATTAATAAGCAGCATTAACTTTATATGCAAGTATCAGAGCTATAGTAACAGTAATTTTGCATATGAATATCAGACCTATTAATAACAGAGACAGTAACATAACGGGTAAATATCAGACCTATTAATAACAGAGACAGTAACATAACGGGTAAATATCAGACCTATAATAACAGAGACAGTGACATAACGGGTAAATATCAGACCTATAATAACAGAGACAGTAACATAACGGGTAAATATCAGACCTATTAATAACAGAGACGGTAACATAACGGGTAAATATCAGACGTTAAGTAACAGAGACGGTAACATTACAAGTAAATGTCAGATGTTCAGTAACAGAGACAGCGGGTAATATAACGGGTAAATATTAGACCTATACTGACAGTAATACCAGCATTACATGTAAATATCAGACCTATAGTGACAGTAATATTACATTTAAATATCAGACCTATAGTGACAGTAATATTACATTTAAATATCAGACCTATAGTAACAGTAATGTAACATATGTAAATATCAGACCTATAGTAACAGTAATGTAACATATGTAAATATCAGACCTATAGTAACAGAGACAGTAACATTACAAGGGTTGTTATGTTTATTACATAGCCTACTTAGTAATAAAATAAAACACTCATCAACTTGAGAAAAATACAAATAATCATGCACGGACTACTACATCTAGCTTATTATATGAAAGAACAGTAATTTTCAATTAAGAGAATGTGACCCTCCCCCCCCCCCCCCCGAAAAAAATAGGTGTGTTATCAGAAGTATTCTTTTTTAAGGTTTAATCAATACTAGGGGTGCGTAGCAGCCCGGTGATACGGCTATTGCGACGTTAGGCATATGCAAAAAATCTGTATTTATTACTAAGTATGTTGATAAAAAGCAATATGCTCATCCCGTGACAGAAAAACCTTCGTTTGTGGCTTAGTAACACAATGAGCAACGATTTCTGAGTATTGAATAAAAATAACGTAAATATCTCATTTCTTTGTTATTGAATCATGGATCAGGTAAAAATGTAAATATAAAGAATAACTGTCCGGGTATATATTTTGGGGTGGGGGGTGTTTATGTTTTGTTTTTATTGTTGTTTTGTCTTTGTTTTTTTTTTTTTTTTTTTGTTTATTTGTTTGTTTGTTTTTTTTTTTTTGGTTTTGTATTATTATTATTATTATGAAACAAATTGCTCGCGTGATATTTTATGCATAAATGGCTTCGACGTTTTATGTAAATTATCTCGTGACCAAACTGTTTGATCACATCATAAATCCAAAACAACTAGACAGTTATTCCTCAAATAAAACACAAACAGTAACACGTAAATAACAGACATATAGTTACAGCTTCAGGAACTTAAAAGTAAATAGCAGATATGGTAACAGTTAGCATAACATTGCAGGTAAATCAGGCATATTGTATCATCAACAGTAACATTACAAATAACGGACAACTGCAGTAACATAACAGGTAACTATTAGACGAATAGTAATGCTGCAGTAACAACTACAGTAACATAACAGTAACTGTTAGACGAATAGTAATGCTGCAGTAACAACTAGTAATAACTAAATTAACATAACAAGTAACTATTAGACGAATAGGAATGCTGCAGTAACAACTACAGTGACATAACAGGTAACTACTAGACGGAAAGTAATGCTGCAGTAACAACTAGTAATAACTACAGTAACATAACTGGCAACTATTAGACGAATAGTAACACTGCAGTAACAACTACAGTAACATAACAGGTAACTACTAGATGAATAGTAATGCTGCAGTAACAACTACAGCAACATAACTGGTAACTATTAGACGAATAGTAATGCTGCAGTAACAACTACAGTAACTTAACTGGTAACTATTAGACGAATAGTAATGCTGCAGTAACAACTACAGTAACATGACAAGTAACTATTAGACGAATAGTAATGCTGCAGTAACAACTACAGTAACTTAACTGGTAACAATTAGACGAATAGTAATGCTGCAGTAATAACTACAGTAACTTAACTGGTAACAATTAGACGAATAGTAATGCTGCAGTAATAACTACAGTAACATAACAAGTAACTATTAGACGAATAGTAATGCTGCAGTAACAAATAGTAATAACTACAGTAACATAACTGGTAACTATTAGACGAATAGTAATGCTGCAGTAACAACTACAGTAACATAACAGGTGACTATTAGACGAATAGTAATGCTGCAGTAACAACTAGTAATAACTACAGTAACATAACAAGTAACTATTAGACGAATAGTAATGCTGCAGTAACAACTACAGTAACATAACAGGTAACTATTATAGACGAATAGTACATATAATACTGCAATAACAACTACAGTAACATAACAGATAACTTTTAGACGAATAGTAATGCTGCAGTAACAACTACAGTAACATGACAAGTAACTATTAGACGAATAGTAATGCTGCAGTAACAACTACAGTAACTTAACTGGTAACAATTAGACGAATAGTAATGCTGCAGTAATAACTACAGTAACATAACAGTAACTGTTAGACGAATAGTAATGCTGCAGTAACAACTACAGTAACATGACAAGTAACTATTAGACGAATAGAAATGCTGCAGTAACAACTACAGTAACTTAATTGGTAACAATTAGACGAATAGTAATGCTGCAGTAACAACTACAGTAACATAACTGGTAGCTATTAGACGAATAGTAATGCTGCAGTAACAACTACAGTAACATAACTGGTAACTATTAGACGAATAGTAATGCTGCAGTAATAACAAAAGTAACATAACAGGTAACTATTAGACGAATAGTAATGCTGCAGTAACAACTACAGTAACATAACAGGTGACTATTAGACGAACAGTAATGTTGCAGTAACAACTAGTAATAACTACAGTAACATAACAAGTAACTATTAGACGAATAGTAATGCTGCAGTAACAACTAGTAATAACTATAGTAACACAACAAGCAACTATTAGACGAATAGTAATGCTGTAAAAACAACTACAGTAACATAACATGTAACTATTAAACGAATAATAATGCTGCAGTAACAACTACGGTAACTTAACTGGTAACAATTAGACGAATAGTAATGCTGCAGTAATAACTACAGTAACATAACAGTAACTGTTAGACGAATAGAAATGCTGCAGTAACATAACAGTAACATAACAAGTAACTATTAGACGAATAGTAATGCTGCAGTAACAACTAGTAATAACTACAGTAACATAACTGGTAACGAATAGTAATACTGCAATAACAACTACAGTAATATAGCAGGTGACTATTAGACGAATAGTAACATAACAGGTAACTATAAGACGAATAGTAATGCTGCAGTAACATAACAAGTAACTATTAGACAAAAAGTAATGCTGCAGTAACATTACAGTTACATAACAGGTAACTATTAGACGAATAGTAATGCTGCAATAACAACTACAGTAACATAACAGGTAACTATTAAACGAATAATAATGCTGCAGTAACATTACAGTAACTTAACTGGTAACTATTAGACGAATAATAATGCTGCAATAATAACTACAGTAACATAAAAGGTAACTATTAGACGAATAATGATGCTGCAGTAACAACTACGGTAACATAACAGGTAACTATTAGACGAATAGTAATGCTACAGTAACAACTACGGTAACATAACAGGTAACTATTAGACGAATAGTAATGCTGCAGTAACATTAAGTTAGTAACACACATATAATATTAAATAACAGCTTCAGTAAAGTACAGGTAAATACTAGTTAATAGACTTAGCAGTATCAAATAACAAGTTTCATGCTTCAAATTAAGAAGACTAATAAGACAATTTAAAGAAATGTAGGTGCTAAATAGTTGACTCAGTTAATTTTCATTTTAGACTTCGTGTCCTAGTGAAGAAATTTAGAGCTTCATCAATTTCATCATGCTTGTCATATGACAGCCAAGAAAGTTCGATGTTAAAATAAAAAAGTTAAAATTCAACACTGAATTCACTCAGCATTTCTTTTAGAGGTGTGATGATTTTGTACTACTCATATACGTAAAAACCCATCAGGAAGAATTTCATGAATGCCAACAACTATTTCTTACGTAAGGGAGCAGTGGCTTTGCATACAATTCCCATTCATACTTTGAAGTAGCATACTTGATCGTGCATTCATCCAATAATTATATTAAGATACTATCAACAACCCTTTAGTATCAAGCTCTTGTGATATATAATAATTTAACACTATCAGAGAGATTAATCTCTCTCTCTCTCTCTCAAATGCATAACATCAAACTTCCATATTCATTCACATATTTTAACATGCAGGGTAACTCTGCTAAAAAAAAAAGTCACTACGAAGTGTGTCGAAGCACGTACAAGATAAAGTTAAACAGAGGAGGACTTGTTTGAAATTTAACAAACTGAAGCATATTGCACTAACCCAAAAGTAAACCTGCACTATCCTGGGGCAAAAGTACTCAACTAGAACTGGAGAGACATTGAAACTGACGAGAGGGGGGGGATTGAGAATTAACTCAACCATTCTGTAGCTCTAAATTAAGCACACTTTAACAAAAAAGGTAAAAGATCTTTCGAAAAATGGTTTACATGTAACAAATGTAATTAAAAAAAATATTTCTTTTTTTCTATCTTGTTTAACTTTTTATATACTCATTCATTTGGACATGTTTACAATCAGAGACAATTTGTAAGGATACAAAATAAAAAAGAAGTTTTTGACGACCTGCATGCTGGATAAGGGAAACATGGGTATCTACCTAGAAAGCAATAAAGAACAAAGTAAACTAAGGACCTCCTTTATCCCATTTATCTCTCAGGACAATGCAAATATTCTCGATCAAATCGATTTTTATCTCGGTTTCAAAATGATTATTGATTTTGATTGATAAAAAAGAAAAGGTATAGGTAGATCAGGAACTTGTTCTATTTTAGCATTTCCTAATTTTTATTGAAATTTCATCTAATTTTGGGAATATTTTGTTTCATGAAGTAAAAGGAAGCAACTTTGTCTACTAAATTAACTTATTCAATGAACAAAAGATAGATCTGGAGCATGGAATTCTAAGACTAACTTACGCTACGTGTATAGTTTCTAAAATTATTTGAAAATTCATCAAAATTAAGAAGATTCGGAAAATTGTTCAACGTCAGCACATTCTTGAGGTCTTTGACCTTATTTCATCTTACGCATTTATATGCATTTTAACGCCCAAAAATCATTTAAAACTACGATGTAAATATTCATTTTTTTGGGGGGGGGGGGGTTATTGTATACACATGCACAGTGCTATCTGTAGACTTATTTCATCGAATGGAAATTGCTTCTGTTTAAAGAAATTGTAAAACAAAAAAAATGATATGGAGAAATATATAGCCAGGATAATCCATTGCAATCACCCAAGACTAGGAACATTCAAAGGTGCATTCCCCATTCAGGGATGTTGTACTTTAGGGGCTGCATGTTTACACGTTATAGTTCTCATCCTTTAGACATGATCCATTAATTTACTAAAAAAGAGATATATATATTTTCTCATTCAGACATTTAATGAAAAACATTTATGTCATCAACGCTCCTCGGGATCGTACTATTGAAAACAAGACAAACAATTGGTGTTTTGGGATTTTTAAAAGGTTGGTCTAAAACCAAGTTTCGTGTTTATATTAATCGCTTGAACGAAAGAGAATATCTTATTTGGGTGCGAGATTTCGTTACGCATATATACACTGTTTTTATTTGACCACTGGCTTGCAATTAATACAAGTGTCTGAATGTTAAATTCACGAGAAAAGGAAGTCGTAGTGGGAGTCATGAGATAAAACCCATATCTTACACATGTCCTAAGTGGGTTAGTATTGTTTGTGAAACCACAAAGGTGTTTATGTGACAGTGTGCTCTTTGTGATCCGTGTGGATCTAAAGAAACGCGTACATATATCACTGTATATAAACACAACAAACCTGACCCAAATAGTGGAGCTTTTACGAAAGATCAATGCTTGCATGTTGAAAGAACTTGGAGCAGGTACCCTTTGAACTGTGCTGTCATAAAACCTCAGCGTTATAGTACTCGGGAGATAGAAAAATGTCGACCAGACGAAAACTTGGATATTATATCATAGCTTCTGTTTTATTTATTTTCCTAGCTAGATTGTGCTATCCAGTATTTGTGATTCTTCAAGAGAACTTATCATTTTGGAATTTGTTATGTGCACTTTGTTTAGGTTTGGCTTTCATTTTCATACCCGTGGTTTCGGGTACAGTTTCACCGCAGGATAAGGCAGTTCTGATTACAGGTGAATATTCATATTGAGTAAATATTGAATCTCGTCGAGTTGATTACTTTAAAACTGACTTAATCTTTTTTATGTCGCTAAAATTCACACAGGTGCGCTCGAGATTTGACAAGATTTATAATTTACTGCATGAGTTTATTTCGTATTTTAAGAAGTTCATAGGGGTATGTCGTAAATTTATGTATGAAATGCTTTCGTCTCCAAGATAAGAATTTTTCGACTTGTCACAAAAAGTGACTGACCAAAATGTTAATCCTTCCTGGTTAAATTCAGAAAAAAAAAACTGGCTTCAACCCAGATCATTGCGTTCAGTAAGCCTTTAAATGTTTTCTTTCATGCAAAACCTTTTGAAAATATACTTTTTAGACTGTTGAACGAGGTTATTATTTTCATCTATTGGAACATAATATAAGACCGTAAAGCGTTTTCTAATTGCAAGGCTGTGACAGCGGTTTCGGCCACAGTTTGGCTTTGAATTTGGCCAAAAGAGGATTCACTGTTTTTGCTGGTTGTTTGTTTTTGGATCGCGAGGGCGCACGTAGTTTGAAAGAAAGTTCCAATAATATACACGTGGTGCAACTGGACGTTACAGATGATTGGCAAGTCCAAAAAGCCGTGCAGACCGTCAAAGAAAATCTAAACGGGAAAGGTAAGGTATCGTCAGGAACACCTCAGGCATTCAATAAATAAAAAGTTACATAAACGCCGATCTGATTATTAGCAGGAAAGGGGACTTTTAAACTCTATAAATTTCTTAAACTGACGTATATCTTTCTGCTACGTTAACCTTACTTAATGTATCAGTGTCTGAAATCGTAAACATGCAATTCAATCGACTATAATATTTTAAACGTTACGAGGTACCCTGACGTAAATGATACCAAAACTTCAATGGCGATTAATTGAATTACTGCACTGTTAACCACAAGAATCATAAATCAGTAGTAAGAAGTGATTACACGTGTCTTTATTTCAAATCAAAATCATTTAATATGAGAGTAAAACGCTTTTTCCCACTATGCTTGCAGAGGAATTGGTTAAATATTTTCCCAAAGATAAGAAAGCAACATTTTCAAACAGACATCTCCATTGCAACGTTAAATTACTCAAGATAGCAGAACTACGCACTGTTTTCGGTGCAGTTAATTGCCAGAATTTTCAAAAAACATTTAAGAGAGAATTTGTTTCAATTACAGTCTTCAAAACACAGATTGCGTTCCAAACTTGTTGCCTCTAGCCATTGATATACAAGTCCTATGACTATTGTGTATAGATTTCAGTATTTACCAATCATTATGACTGCTATTGAGAGCTGTTTTATTACATTTTGTTTGGTTTAGATCTGAAACAGAAGGAAATCGATATGACGAACTAATAAATTCATTCTAAAATGGAGTAATTTCAAAATTATTCATTTGCTGGTACGTCAACAAACAAAGTGTAAACACATTGTCAAAATATATTATCCCTTTTATCCAGTATAATCGGGTTTTCACCGAAAGAATTCTACAAGTTAATATTTCAATAAAACTGTCTATTTAATCTATATTTATTTTTTTTACAGTATTGTGGGCACTGGTTAACAACGCTGGCATAGCAACATTTCAGGAGATAGAATGGTGCTCCGTCAACCAGTTTCAGCAAATAATGGACGTCAACGTCATTGGCGTTGTCCGGGTTACCAAAGCGTTTTTGCCGCTTCTTCGCGATGGAGAGGGGCGGGTCATTAACGTAGCAAGTCTGGCTGGTAAGAAAATAAATTTTAGTCTATTTATAATATACCCCTTAACTAATAAGTAGGAAGCAGCAAAACCGAAATATATATTTGAATGACGCATTCAGATGTTTGGGGTTTTTATTTGACTTTCGTATCAAACACTAGCAGACAACAAAAACATGACTCAATTCGAATGCAATAATGAACATAAAAGAGTGAAAATGACATGCTATAATTGGAAAAATTGGTATTAGTATTGTACTTTACTATAGCTAATGATTACAACAGAAATGTCAATCATTAACTCTATGTAAGAGAGCAAAATAAATTTTCAATTTCACCGTAGAAAGTCATTCGAAACACTGTAAATAGTTTTTCTCTGTCATTAACTTTGTACGACATCTACACGTTTACCCTGCAAACTTCTAGTTCATTTAACAGCAATATTCAAATTTATTTATGAAAATAAAGATTCCTTAGCCTTTTAATGAATATTTTCTAGGTCGTTTCACTGTACCGGCATTTGCTGCCTACTCAATGTCGAAGAAAGCATGTATTGCGTTCTCGGATGGATTACGGCAGGAAATGGCGAAGTTTGGTGTCAAGGTCATTACTATAGAACCCGGATTGTATAGGTATGAATCCTGTATGACGTATCTCAAGATTTTCTGTATTGTATGGCAACCAGCAATTTTTAACTGCAGAGCTCCAGATAATTTTTTACCTCAAAGTGTATTTACTCCCTGATTTTCAAATCAATGCAGATTTTGCTTTTCAGCTAAATAATCAAAGAGTATTTTGTTAATCTATTGCTCTTTTTACATCTAATGTTATATTTAGCTTGTTATTGAAATAAGTGTTTTTGAAAGAGGAATGTAAAATACGGACAGTTTCTGCATTAATCAATTAGGTTGATGAAATTTTAAAAATTTTGTCAGCTTTATCTATAACCGAGAAACATTTCGTTTCTTTCACCAGAAAGACCATAGGGTAGGCAAAGTTACCACAGGCACAACAGAACTCCATTGATTAGGCCTATATCGATCGTAGGAAGAGTTTACCGAGAAAAATATCCTTCCTTTGGCCAGAAAAAATTAATCTTTAGATTCTCATCCCCATCTGCCCCTCTCAAAATGTCCCACCCCGTTGTTTTTTTTTTAATCAAAAATATACATTAGGTTTTCCTATATTGGCATCGATCGAGGTAATGGTTTTAGAGTTCGAGTTTAGAGTTTGCATTAAAAGTCTCGTGGCGCTATTTATAGCACAGGAGCATGTGGAAAGCAAAAAAGGAATTATTTTCATACAGTTAATAAATGTTGACGGCGAACTTTAGATGACATTACTACAGAAAATGGTAAATATATAAGAACTGATTAATAAACAGTGATAAAGGATAACATAGACACCATTCTTGTTTTGCGCAATTTTGACAATATCGACGTGTACGCGTCAAGAACGAAAATTTGGTTGTTATATGAACAGTGGAAATCTGTGATATTTTTAGACAAAATACGAATATTTGATATTCAAATCTTTCTCCCGAACGGAAAATCGACCTATATATATGTTATTCCGAATACGCTTATAAATCACTATTTCCTTTCGATAAAAATTGAAACACTGACCTGACCTCAATTCACATAATTAAATCGTACTTGTGTCATTCAATCCGTCGTACGCAGTACTTTCGTAGTGTAATGCTTATTTATGGTTGCTGATGCGTAATTGTACGCCCTGATTTAATTTCTAATGCGTATTTTGAAAAATTCAATGCATATTTCTGCAAATAGGCACCTTATCTGGAGCTCTGTATAATTAACTTTCAGTATCATAAAATTAGCATTCTTTTAATCAAATATTTTCCCATTCAAATTACAAATTTATGTTGAACTGTTGAGCTTACACATACATTCTCAGTGTCACTGAACTGCAAAATTCGGAAGTCTTGAGTTCCTACTTCAACTGCTTATGTTCTAGCCACAAGTAAAAATTTACATCTCTATTTAGGACGCCCATTGTTGAATCGGATTACCTTATAAATGCCAACCGGAAGTCATGGGCCGAAACTCCATCCGAAGTCAAGGAGGTGTACGGAGAGGAATACTTTGATGCATTCTGTAAGAGTATTTCTACGCATATGAGGCGCGCACGTAGCAACGTTGGGGAGGTTGTCAAACAAATGGAAGAGGCCGTTACATCTGCAAGTCCAAAGCATCGTTATGTTCCTTATTGGATGTCAGACTTAAGGGCAAACTTTCTGGGTATATTGCCCGATGAAGCTCGTGACAAGGTTTTCATGAAAACGTATAAACTGCCAGCGAAGCCAGCACAAACACCAAAAAGCCTGTCGAGACAAAACTCAGCTTCGCCCACGTTTAATCTGACGCTGAAAAATGTGTTCCGACAAAATTCAGAATCCAAGAAGCCATGACGACTTGATTGAAATACCGCCTTAAAACGATTTTAGTTATGCGTTTCGTATCCTTGTTTTTACGGACAATCATATTTGGAATTATCCAGACCTTTTAAATAACAATCTCAAGGATATTTTTTAAAGATTTTATTTAAAACAGGAATATACTTCATATCTCAGAGGAAAATGATATTAATCAAAGAATCTAATGATAGCGTGGCCTGATTACGGTATAGACGAATTACCATTTCTTATTGCCTTTAATCGTCAGTGCATCTTTTGGTAAATTTCGTGACAATGTGTCGGTACAACTAGTCTTCCTGCGGTTATCACTTAGAAGGAATTTAAACTGAAACCACAGGTGCTTGAGGATAGGACACCCCCTTCCCACGAACATATATCCCGGGTCCAAAGATATAATTATTTTGTCTTTTTCATAAATTATTCTTCTGTATAATGTGTTCAGTATGGAAATTTAAAAACAAAATAACGCAGATTAAACTTTTAATTGAAAAAAAATCATACCTGCGGTATTATAAATTTTTATATAATTTTTTGAAAAAGGGAAATTTCATATGGAATACATTGTAAATGTATGCTAGATGAATAATTTATGAAAGAAGACAAATAAAAAATATCTATGGCCCTGGGGGTGTGGGGTTCCTTTCAACAAGCACCTGAAACTAAAATAACAAAAATCTCATTCTTTGGTTGTTGAAAAATACTTGAAATCCGGACTTGGTTGTTGTAAGACGCTTGAAATTAGAAGCCAAACTCTGTTGTGCAAAGTAATTATTTTTTTCATATCAGTGGTGAATTCAGTTCTTATAAATGTGTATATAGTATATTATATCTTATGTATAACTCATGTTTTAATTATGTTTTTTAGCCTTTATGTATTTTCAGATTTTTTAAATATTAAACACATTTAAATACACAAAATAATGCTACTTTCATTTCTTGCATCAGTTTAGGTTTTCAGGGTACAGAGATATCAAGTGTAAAACTTCCATGATGTAAAACCTGAAGATAACGAACAATTATTAATTCCATAAATCCAGTTATAACAAATCGTGAACAGTTCAATAACACGGACCTCTGAAAACACCAGAGGTGGGATCAAGTGCCTAGGAGGAATAAGCATCCCCTATCGACCGGTCACACCCTATGTACTGATCAGGTTGATGTACTCCGTAGTCAGATTTAGTATAAAAGCAATGACCTAACAAATAATATGAAACGTGTCAGACAAAATACGACCCAACTATAGGTTGGTTTTACAAACAAGGTCATTATAACCACTTCAGAATTTGCTATAAGCTGATTGATATCCTTGTAACATTAACTTTTTTGTCAGAAGCTTGCCTCGGTTTAAAAATTGATCATATTCAGAGCATGCTCTTGCATGTCGAATCAACACCATATGCAGGTAATGTTGGAATATTGCTACAGTACAATGCTTACAAGAAGGGAAGTTGACGATGGAAAAGCGTTATCTCGGTTGCCACATAATTTAATTGGCCATTATCGTTTATAGCCAGTAAAACATCCATATATGATAAACTCTGTAGTGTCTAGTTTATTGTGATATATCGAATCGACATATCAATGAAAGTAGATTTTGTTAATTAATAAAACGTCGTCGAGATTGAGTTGAAGGCAACAGCAAGTTTTCGTCTTGTAGAAGTTTTTGATACAAAAACAGGCCGGCTAACAAAGAAGCACAATTAATAAGTGCCCATTGAAATTCAAACAGATTGTTGGAAGACTTGGTCTCCAAAGACTATATAGATGTTGTCAATGGGGAACTTCAGCATCTTTTTAATATCAACTTCAGAGTACTTGTATGTAGAATCAGGATGATTTTTAACAAAGTAATTTTGTAGATGACCAATCAGAAGGTATGAAAATTTACGAGTTCCATTTTCATTAAGGAATCAGTTGCTTATGATATCAAAAAACCTGTTCTTTAATTTATAGTGAGGAATGGTTGTATAAAGCGTAGAAAAGTCGTATGTTTTGATGCTATCGACATTTGAAAAGTTTTGAGATTTTGAATTTTCCAAAAGTTCTTTGGAGTTTTCTTAGAATCCACATTTGATTTACACCACTTCTTGAATATGTTGTTGCACAATACGTCTGAAGTTTCGTCTTCACAGCAACTTATACATTAATAATGTATTATGGTGAGGAGTAATAATAGCGGGCTTTGTTGAAACTTACTGAACCCAGCAATATATCTTCGTTTGTAAGGGTTTTTATAAGTGACTTGTAGTTTCGAAACTTACAGGAGAAAATGTGGTTAAGTGTATTATTTGACATTTATCCTTTATTATGTACAGTAATTACTCAGAAAAATGATACTATAGTAATATAGAGTCAGAAATTGTGGGGATGAAAGTTTGCTAATTTTCCAATCAATTCCTCCATTTTTGGCTGTATGTTCAAAGACCAGAAGAGTTTATGCGATAGAAAATGTCCGTCGTTCATCTGTCTGTCCGTCTGCAAAAAATTAATCCTTGTATGAATTTGTCTGTTGATAAACAAGTAAATAACAATACACTGTACGTAATTCTATTCTTGGTGTTTGATTTCGACGAATGGAGTTGCCATGGTTACTGTAAAATATAACTTCTTTGAAATTACGCTACTTCAAGAGTTTTGGTCCATTTTCAATAGTAGACTATAAGCCAAGAATATTTATTGGTTTTTGATTTCGATGAGGTTACTAAAAAATGAATGATATGTGAAATTCTATCAAAAATTTCTCCTACAGTTTTGGTCTGATTTCAATGAAACAGTAAAAGTTTGGAAAAGGTTAGAATACATAATTTGTTAATGTAAAACTATAAAATTACTTGTGTATCACAGTCACTTTACTATATCACTCCCAATACTGTATTCCAAAGAAAAAATATAATTGATTGATTATAAATTTTTAAGTTTGAATAATATTTTTTGTTTCAAGGAGTCTGTGCAGTCGTGCATTCATTCTCACAAAATAAAATTAGGAATAATTATATTGGCTTTCCTGCAATCCATGTTACTTATTTGAAAACGCCAAAACAAGCGTTTATTGTTTCCATCAAATCAATTCGTCAAGTACGCATAAAACAGAATTGTTTGTTGTCTTTAGGCATAAAGACATGAGTTTCTTTATGCTGCGACTGGTAGGTCGGAACATTCCTGAAACTTATAAGAGACGCAACGGCACCTAATGCAAATCTGCAGGATTCGTATTATCTACCCCAAAAAAGATTGAAATAAAACATATGGAATCAAACGTGCCACGTTCTCATTCGATAAAGATTCTGTAGAGAGTTACGGTACAGTTCTTCTTAAATGCATATGAAGACCCTTGTTGTTAACATCTCCGAAAATATCAGTCAAGTTGAAGAATCGTGTTACATGTTATGTCGTGACCAAATTTATTTAATGTCCCATAAAGAATTCAGGTATCACATAACTTATCATCTTAAAACTTTTTTTTAATTTTCCCCCCAGTGTGTACGCATTTCATGCAAGCGTAAAGAAGCCATTGACACGCTGTTTGATATATCTAAACCCGTAAAAAATGTACTATGTGCTAAAGTTTTACGGCTCATTACAGCCATCTTCATTTAGAAAGAAGTAGCTAGCTTTTTCTTACAACAAAAAAATTAAAGAAGATGGGCGAACAAGGCGAGCGAAGTGCCTATAGTGCGACAAACATAAAGGTGAAAAATTAAATCTCAATTATTACAAAATTTTCTTCGATATTTCATCTTACATTAAGGTATACTTTATGTAAAATCTCCAAAATTCGCAAAAATCTCACAAAGATTGAAAATATTTGCCTATGAAATAGCATACACGCACTAAAAAGGGCAAAAAGGATCATTTTCTCATAACACAATTTTTCGATATGAGTGAGTCTTCGCTCCATTTTTTTTTTGAAAGTTTATCCTTAAAGTTTGCGCTAAAACGTACATTTTTCGGTTAACAAAAATATGGAGCAAAGACCCACTAAACCTAAAAAATACACTTTTATGACACAACATTCGTATCTTTCCGAGAAATATTTGAAGTCCATTTTGTCAAGGGTCATATCACAAACATGATTTAAATGCCGATATTTATCAAGAGTTCTTGTAGCATAGTGGTTAGCGTGTTGGTCTCAAAGGAAAATGATACTCAGAGTTTTTATTGCTAGGGTTCGAACCCCGAGACTACCACATTATTTTTTAATAACAGAAAAAAAATTGCAGAGAAAATTTTCCTCAAAAAAGTTTCGTTTATCGTAATTTCATAAATTTCAATAACGAGAAGTTTACTCTAAATACTAAATTCACAAATTGAATATGATTATTATATATCTGAAGCTATAGGCATTCTGTACGCCTTATTCACCCATCTCCTTATGATACTTGCACAACTCAATCCAGTCGAATTTTTATGTAAGCATATGGCGGTCTTATTCTAAGAGACCATTTATACAATAAATAAATACATGTAATGATAACCAATTAATTCATTATATTCAGAGAAAAAAAATCACTTAAAATACTCATTAAGAGTACAGTTCCGCGAACAAATATTTCTCCTCGAACCACGAAAATCTGACCTTCGCAAAAATAACTGATTTTAGTTTAACTAATTTTAAGAATTGGAATTGAATAATTCTTGTGCACTTGATCAGAGTATTACTGCAAGATTTCTGAATAAACAGTTAATAATGCCAATGAGCGATTCAATGCGGTGAGCTCTCTCTCTCTCTGCAATATCTAATCAAGGTTTGTGATTAATACATACCTCACATATACGTAAACACAAATACTTGGGAAGATGGCAATTAGTGAACAGAAACAAGCTACATGTAGTGGTCTTGATTATAAACTAGAACTACGGTTCAGGGTATCTAGAGTTTTCGAAATCCTTTCCTTTGTAGAGGGGGGTAAATAAAGTTAATAAACTGTATGATTAAAAGTGTCCTTAAAATTGCATTTTAATTCCATATATCTGCAGTCGGCCTGTTTTTGTACACATCTGCACTGTCTTAGGTGGAAGGCAGGGGTTAGGCGACAGTGAGTTGTCCAAAACAGTAATTAGGCAAAAGTGAAAGAATAACATTTACATTTTTTTTATTCATTTAAGAAATACATTTTGCTTTTAAAGCGTAACAAGTATAAAGACTACAACAAGCAGAGACTTACAGAACTAAAATTTCTATATTTTCAATTTGCATAGCAGTATAACTATATAAGCAATTGTAAATGTTTTAAAATATGCATAATAAAATCATACATTTGAAGTCATACTAGCACCATTAATTACTGGCATGAATGAAAAAGAATCACCTTTCATTTATTATTCTAAACAATACTCATACGTTCACTACAAATTCTTTCAAATCTCTTCTTCATATTTATTTGAAACACATTAGAATATTTTGATCAAATATTCAAAGCAAATCTAAGCAGGTACACTTAATTGTCTTTATGTAATCATCCTCACAAATCAAATTTTAAAAACAAATTGTCTATCATATCAAGTAAGCATGAATTAGAAATGTCCACCTAGAATGTACACATCTTGAAAAGATACACACTGTGCATGTATTACTGGCGTCACACAAAATAGGTCAAGGAAAGGAGAATTTATCATTCAGTGACATTAGCATTTCATTGTCATTGCCCCTTAACAAAGGGGTTAGAAGGAGGTTATGTTTATCCCCGTCTATCTATCCTTCTGTCTCTCCACAAGTACTCATCCTTAATATTTAAAAAAAAGACCTTAATAAAAAATTTAGAAAAAGGCGTATTTGGCAAAGAAGAGCCAATGGTGTTTTGAGGCGGATCTGATGATGCTGGATCCCCCCCCCCCCCCCGATTTTCTCACTTCCGCAACCTTTCCATAAGACAAAGCAGAAAGCTATGAACACATTTTTTTTTAATTGTATTTTTAGATTGTGCAAAAACCAAGTAAGACTAGATTTGCAAGTGGATAAATGCCATAAATTTTCTTCAGTCCTGTGAATAAGATTAGAATGACAAAGAGAAGGAACTCTTGCATGCAAACGAAGATTTGGACAACCCAATCTTGAAATACAAAACATGTCTACAACCATAAAATAATTAAGGGAAAATTATCAAAATTAACATACAGTGTTTTATACATGTACATCTGATGGCAAATATTACTTCAACTGACTTGCTCCATCATTACAGAATACACCAAGAAAATGTGATTGTAGTGTGCTTGTAATAGCATATGTTATTCAATGCTTCAAAACCTACTATGCTTCAAAGGTACATGTATTTACTAATGTATTAAAAAAAAAGATACATGCAAAAATATGAGGGAATGATTTTTCAGAAATGGAATGAAAACCTTAAGCTATAATCTAGTAATTTATAAGAGAACTTTCATTAATTTGACAGTGAGAGGAAGAGAGTTCTCTGAGAAATTAATTTTAAAGTCAAATTTATTAAAATCTGGCAACATTGTCCTCCTTCCTGATCTGACCTTTGAACTCCTGAATCATATCACATCCACTTCACAGTAAAAGGCTTCAGTAGGTCAACAATGGGAAGATAAACTGTCAAAGTCTACAAAACAATGGGAGTTAAAAAACTATTAATTATCTAGCTATATAACAATGCAAAATGATTTAATATTTTGATGCACTATAATTAAAATAAACTGTCTGTTGGTACCTAAAAATACTGGTATGTCAAACAACAGATAAAAATATGGTTATAGGGTTTGAAATAGATCTGACAGAAGTGTGAAAATGTGTTTGTTAATCAGTATGTCTAAGAAAAGCTTTTGATGTCTTTTTATTAATATAAAAAATTAACCTTATTATTTGAGTCGTATTTAAACTGAGCTGTTGCACCATTAACAGTGACCGTCTTTGGTTGTGCGTCCACTCCAGCCACGTAGAGGAACTCAAGTTTCATATCCTCTCCTGTGTAACCTGACTTCATCACTCCAGAGGTAATGGTGTCCTAATGAATAAAAGAGACCTATGGCAATTTAGCGACTTGTCAGTGACGTACAGCCTTCTATACAACAACAAGACAAATGAATTTCAATACTTTGATTTTTCATAAAATTAATGTTTAAAAAAAAGTTCAAAGTTAAATAATACAAGATATTCATCTAGGTACATGTGTTTTATTTCAAAGCAATTGATATCTAAGAATAATCTTCTTGTATTTGCAATAACAATAACATTTTCAAGCATTAGTTTATCATGAATAGGAAGAGAAAAGTCTTCATTGCAAGTTAACCACTTCCTTACTAGTCCATCATATTAAAAAATCAAACCTGCATGTTAACAGAATGCATGTGCTCTGAGTCCATTTAAATTGAAAAATAATCAATCAATTTAACCCCCCCCCCCTCTTTTTTTATCCATGTCCCTTTTCTTCATATGGAACAATGAAAAGAAATTCATAGCAAACTTACCTTATCTGCCTTAAACATGATCATGTTGAAGTCTCCACTTTCATGTGTGCCTAAAAGTAAAAACAAGTCAAGAACTGAAAAATCTGTCATTAATTGGTGTGTGTTTGACACTTGTGGTCTACACTTCAAAATGAACAGCATGTTTTCAGCAATATTTACCTATAGTCTCTCCATCATCCCAAAACAGAGCTCCATCTGCCTGTCCTGTTCCATTCAGGGCCACAAACAAGTTAAAATTGTTCTTACGACTGAAAAAAGAAAGATTGATCATGCTTTTTAAAGAATTGCTCATTCACCTTTGCTTAAGCTTCCTGAGAAATGTGAGAATCTAACTTTAGGCAAATTTCTAATTGACTTTTGATCTGTTTATATGAATGAAATGGATAGAAAAGTTATGGTTTTAATTTACTTTTTATAAAATATGAAGACTCTGTCTCGTTGATACTGTGAGAGTCTTTTTATTTCATGTGTTTAATATTTCACAATTTAATTAAATGCTACATTGATTTGTCACCAATTTTCATCATGGCTTAATTTTCTCAGAAAATTCTTTGATCACTAACAAAGTGATATCAAAAACACCCCAATATATTCCACTTGAACAGTATTTAAAGCAATTATGATGTTGGTCATACAGATAAAAAACATTATGTCTCCTTTTTTTGATCAGGGGGGCACAAAAATAAAGGAATTAAAATATAAGCTTAAAATTGATTAAAGGAATTTCTTTCACAAGGAGACGAAAAAGCAAACTGCATGTCCAGAGCATTTTGAAGGACTGAGCACATTAACTTTTAAATCTCACCTCTCTGTTGTGGTCATTGAAGCTGCTTTCATAGGTAAAATATTTCCTCCTCTTACATACACATTGATGGAGTCCATTGGTGCATCCATACTCATTCTGGAGCCATTACCCATAATTCTTTTACCCTTAGCAAAGTCATACCAAATACTTGCAGGAAAGTATGTGTTTAGTTGAGTTGTGTCCTGTGATAGAAACAGTTGATAATTAGGCAAAAAAATCTCTTGTTTCTCAGGCCAAAAACTTCAAAATTCAGTGCAACAGGCAGGTCTTTTTTTTCCTTCTCAGTCAATAAAATGATAATATCAACTGATTCTTACTTTTGTGTACTCTTATATTGATCATAATATGTATTCAACTTTGGATAATGTTATTCCAAAATTTTTATAAAATGTTAATTCATGAAGTACCATTTGAAAAAAAATGTAGCTAATAAAAACGTCAGATATGAAAAGGGTCATATCTCAATTTTTTTTTTAACTTGGAAAAATAGAAAATTGAGTTAATCCCCTTTTCAAAAATTGAATAAGTTTGACCTGAATGATGCAGAGGTGCCTGAGAAACTACATGTATAGATCATTTTTTTATTTTGGCTTATGAGATTTGCATTGTTCTGTCTGTAGAAATTAAATCTTTTGTTAAGGAATGGACTGATTATTATATAAAGTGCTTACTTTAGTTAACACTGGTGTAATCATTAAAGCTGAGCCCAGCATAAACTGATCATCAATGCCATAGGTGTTAATATCATGTGGAAATCTGTCAGAAAAATAGATAATGTATCACTGAGTTCATAGTCTAATAAAAAATTCTTATATCCTGCTTTTGTAATTTGAGTCCCTGCAATTAAAATTATTAATATCTTGTTAAAGATTATAGTAAATAATGGATGAAGTCATTAGTCGATGATTAGTCTGAAAATTTTAAAATTAATTAATTTATTTATAGTTTATTCAGTTCTAATCATTACTATTTCTTAAATATGCATGCATTGAATGAGAGTCACAACTTACTCAAAGAACAGTGGTCTGGCCACAGTTTCCCCCATAGCATTGGATTTATGAAATAGAGTGTACAGATAAGGAAGAAGCATGTATCTAGTAGTGAGGGCTTTTCTAGTGGAGTTTTTCATGGCATCACTAAACACTGCAGGATCCTGGGCCTACGACACATAAGTAGTTATAGAAATTAATATTTAGATTTTAAAGGGAGATAAATCTGAGATTTCTTTTCTCTGAAGTAGTTGCTTGTTGTGTCCAGTTTCATCACCTTCTTTCCAAGATCATTGTGGTTTCTGGAGAAGGGATAAAAAGCTCCAAGCTGCTGCCATCTTTGACACAATTGTTCTGTGGTGTCGTCATGGAAACCACAAATGTCAGCACCAATCATGGAGATGCCAAACATATTCATATTCAACATTTCTGAAAACATGCACAAAATAATTGGGTGCATCTCATAATATTTTATTAAATGGAAACGTAATTAAAACATTGGAAGAGCTAGTGTACATGAAGTAAGATGAAATATTGTACAGTTAATGAAATTACCAATTAGATAAAACTCTGTTTAGTAATACATGTATATGTGAATATTCAGATTTGTGTTCAATTTAAAATCTATAACTACTTTACTAGCATAGTATTCGTAGAAATACTGCAAATGGTGCAAAATTTAACACAAAATTGCACAGCAATTCACATGGCTTAAATGTTGGACTAACTACACTGTATTAATATTGGATTCTTCTATAAGAAAATTTTAATTACATTCTGACCTGGTACAGAGAGAGCCATATCTTCATAGCGTGCATAGTTATCCCCAGACCAGTGACCACCATAATGTCCTTGACCAGCAAATGTGGAGCGAGAAATTACAAAAGGTCGTGTTCCTCTCACAGTCTTCAAAGCCCTATGAAAGCATCATAATTTATATATGTGTACTGTTTGTGAGCAGACCGTCTCGTGTATTTAAACAAAAATAAAGTTCTGAATAAAAATTGATTTACAGTAATCAATCTTAGACAAAGATGTACTAAATTACCCGTGTATCAAATTTTCCCCACCAAAGTCCTCACATTGTAATCTGATATTATGAGGGCAGTTAGGGTACATGTAAAATGTTAGAATAAATAGTTAATACAAATGAAGAATAGCATACTGATATGTTGCCATGGTTTCTGTTAAACCATACAAATCATGGACATTGTAGGTCAAGGACACATTCTGCTGAGCTGATGGACAGATTGTCCTTGACTTCAAATGATCACCAAGGACAGCTAAAAATGAAAAAAAAAAGTTTGCATTTAAACTGTTACTTCACACTAAAATGTTTAGAATTTTACTCCAGATTTATGAGTATCAGATATCAGAATAAAGAGTTTAGGAAATATTTTTCTGACAGCTGAATGTTTTGTACCTGGAACATATGGTGGATTGTCATATTTGTTTCCTCTGCAACCAGTCAGTGAGCCATCATAGAAGTTGGAAAGTTCATTCATATCCTACCAAATAACATATTTTTATAAACCTCTGTATTATTTCACTTGTGAAAGGGGAAAAATGCCATTGCAGCAACACTTAAAACAGGAAATAAAACTTATTAGGTAATCAAAGACCACCAAGCTCACCTCGATGAATGTTATCTATAATTTAATGATGTGGTAGTGTGCATCCCTAGGTTGAATGGAAACTGCAAATAATTGGAATTTTTCAAAGTCCAAGGGGCATAACTCTGTCAAAATTGCTTGATCATACCCAAAACAGAACTTGACCTAGATATTTTTATGATAAATCTGTATACCAAATTTCATTTCAGTATGTGCAACCTCTGCGAAGAAAATGAACGGAAACTGCAAATAATTGCAATTTTTCTAAGTCCAATGGGTATAACTCTGTCAAAAATTGCTCGATCGTACCCAAAACAAAACTTGACCTACAATGTACATATTCTTATGATAAATCTGTATACCAAATTTCATTTCAGTATGTGCAACTTCTGCGAAGAAAATGAACGGAAACTGTTGGTGGACCGACCGACAGACCGACCGACACACAGCAAAGACAGCAGCAAAGCAATATGCCCTCCCTTCTTCGAAGGGGAGCATAAATATAACAACAACATTATCTTTAATCCTTATGACTGTTCATCCATTCCTTCAACACTTACAATCCACATTCCATCAAACTTGACTTTGTCATGGAAAGCTTTGGTCATCTGTGTCCAGTAGTCTGTGGTCTTTGGGTTAGTGAAATCTGGGAACACAACATCTCCTGGCCAGACCTAACAAAACACAGATTTCCTTTGCATAATTCAATGATAAACTATAAACTGATAGCTTTTCTTACTTTAATAATCTCTAAAATACCAAACAGGGGGAGCACCCAGAATTCTGTGGATTAATTAACATACAAAATCTGACACAATTTCTAGAGTCCATGGCTATCAGCTTCAATATTTTGGGATTACCCCACCCATCAGTGTTTTTTTTTTTTAGATCACCTTCCCTATCAGTGGTTTTTGGGATAACCTTGCCATCAATGGCTTTTGGGATTATCTTGCCCATCAAATGGTTTTCCTGAGTTTATCTTGCAAGGGATTACCTTGCCCATCAGTGTTTTTTTGGGATTACCTTGTCAATCAGTTGCTTTTCTGGGATTACTTTGCTAATCAGCAGTTTCCTGGGATTACTTTACCAATCAATGGTTTTCTGGGATTACTTTACCAATCAATGGTTTTCTGGGATTACCTTGCCAATCAGTGGCTTTTCTGGGATTACCTTGCCAATCAATGGTTTTCTGGGATTACCTTGCCAATCAGTGGCTTTTCTGGGATTACCTTGCCAATCAGTGGCTTTTCTGGGATTACCTTGCCAATCAATGGTTTTCTGGGATTACCTTGCCAATCAGTGGCTTTTCTGGGATTACCTTGCCAATCAATGGTTTTCTGGGATTACCTTGCCAATGAGTGGTTTTCCTGTGCTGTCCTTTATCCAGATATCCATCTTTGTACCAACATTGTACGGAGGGTAAGGGGAAGGGCTCTTATTACTGATTCCAGGATCCTAAAAATGGTAGCATGTCCAATTCATTAAAGGAAGAATTATCAAATCAATAGGAAATTTCAAATTAGCATATTTTTTAAAAATACATGAAGAAATTCATACAAAGTAAACAGTATATACCACAATCATGACATAGTGCATCCCCATGCTGTGTAATGTGTCCACCATTGCAGCCTGGTCTCCAAATTTTTTAGTGCCTGTTGTGAAATCCCGATATTCCTCCATGTAATCTATATCATTCCACTGTGTGTCCTATTGTAACAAGGCAAACAACCCATGTATTAATCATGCAACTGCTAAAACAATACTATCTAATACAATGTGTGTTTGAGCTTTGCTGCATATATCCAAAATAGAGAAAAATTCTGGGACAAGGTATGCATTATTCAAAAATAAATTGAACTTTACCTGAGGAATTTTGGCTTCTTGCATTCTTTTAACCACATCCATTGTTTCATTCACAGAATGATAACCATATTTACATAGGTGGAATCCCAGACTCCAGTATGGTGGCATGAAGGTGTGACCTATGACCTCTGTGTACTGCTGGACGACCTCAGCAGGACTCGGTCCCATAAACATGTACATGTCAAGAATTCCACCAATTGTTCGCCAAGTCAAAGCAGGGGCTGGCTGTAGAACAGTTTCTACCAAAGTATCTTACATGTTACTCAATTTTTACCCGGTATATGCTTACGAAGAAAACACATAAATAAATGATGAAAAGGTTAATTATGAAATTTAGTTAAAAGTTTTACTTCAGGAAAAAACATACCTTTGGCATTGCTGTTAAGGAGGAAGAAACCATGACTCCTTCCTCCATCTTCCATCATCAAATAAAAAGGATGATGACCATATAAATTGGTGCCGGTATCAGGATCCTCCATAAAGAAGTCAACATAACTTATACATGTATTCTACTTCAAGAAACTTTTGCTATTTTAGCTCATCTCTCTTCCCAACAAAAGAAACAGTGAATGTTAACAGTTACAAGTCAAGGAAGATAAATTAAAAATGTTCGAAAATTATTCCAAAGTTTCAAAAGTTTCTTACATGAGGAGCTTGATCTCTGTTCCATGTTGTCAGTCTCCTCCAATCCATGGATTGAAGTAGCCTGCCTCGATGTTCACCAAGTCCATATAAGAATTTAGAGGGGAGAAATGTAGATAACTGGATATATTGATCTGCAAATATCAGAGGAGCTGCCCCGGATGTGTTGAATCTGTAACATTTACATTTCTTTGTTGTCATACCATGGGAGTGATGTTAAAATTTTTATTTAAAAAAAACCAAATACTGTAATCATTCTTTTCTCCAGATCGAGTCATGTTAATTCAGAATCACAATTTCCATTCAATCCTTGAATAGATAGCCATTGTATGTCTTAAATACGTTGTGACAAATTCCGCAGAAAAATTGTGACTGCGTACATTGCCTAAATTAATCCCAGGAGAAATGTATGTATACAGTAACCACATTGCTAATCAGGAGTGATTTTTTTAAATAAGTGGCTGGTTGAATTATCTGATAATCGGACTCAATAAAATTGAGGGTAAAAAACCTTAAATAATGATATTTATACTAAAAATTTTGCCAATTTTGATAAGTCAGATTTTTTTTTTTTTTTTTTTGCTGACATGATTTACTCACATGACAGCTGGTTTGTCAGCCGGTGTCAACATTTTTCTCACCACAGCAAAGTTAAATGGATCTCCTGTTTTACTGACAACCACTGAATATTTCTGTACTGGTGCTGCCTTTGTCACTTTTGGTGTATTTAAGGGAACTTCATATCTTGCATTTTTGGGATCAAATATCTATTTAAAAATTACATTTTTTAAAGCTATTTTACACATTCAAAAATTTTACTGTTTACACACAATTTGTACACACATTTAATACAATACTTACTCTGATTCTTAATCTGTAATCTGTCTCATATCTTACATCCATAACTAAATTAAAGACATTATCTGGATAAATAGCTGTGGTGTTCCTATTTAAAGCTACTGAAAATCCTGTTGGTGTAATTGCTTTTAGTCCTGTCTTATACCCTGGAAAATTTGCTGGAAAGTAACAGAAGGGGACACCCATGGGTCTGTTCATAGGATTTTTTCTCCCATTCTGGGATGGACTAGAATGTGGAATTTGCCAGCAGCATCCTCTAGCTTCACATTTTTCCTTGTCAGTGAGTGCTTCTGGATAGCAGTCAAATTTATGAGCATCATCGATAACAGTACACTGACTATTGGGTTGAATTATCTGTTCATTTTTACTTTCCTTTTTATCATTATCTCTGAATATAAGATACAATTGCTGTAGAAATGGCAGCTGTCTATCAATCTTGTCCTTGCTGGGTCTGATGGCATCCTTTTCTTCATGAAATGACTGTTCACTTGCTTGGAGAATTATGATTTGCACTCTGGGCATGAAGAACAAGTGGTTCATAAGAGCCAAAATCACTATGGTCAAAAACAATATGAAACTGGCCAGCACCACATTTTTGTTTCCCATTTTTGACACAATTTTCCTTTATATAAAAAAAAAGATACCATTAATTCATTATATTAAGTAGTAAATTTTTTCATCCACTTTTAAGCTAAAATTAAAGAAAAAAACCAGACAATTTTGTATTTCTAAAATGTTATCCTCCTTGGGATGAAATACCTCAGCTTTTGAAGAGGTTGTCAATTGCATTATTAAATAAATGCTTCAGAAACTATGTACATGTATGTCATAAACAATATAAACTATGAAGTCACTCATAAATCAGTCATGCTGTGATTGTTGAAGCTGAAGTGGGTCATTGAACTTTTGTCAGACAAATGTAGTTTACTGTTTAATGCATATTAGACTGCTAAGTACATTTCCTTACATGCATGATATCAGGAACTTATATACTGACGTGATAGGCAACTCCTTCAGTGCAATATTTATTTGCCCAAAACATCACATGCAACTCTAAAAGTTTTTCAAACTATGTTTATCCCCAGTAAACAGTTTGTTTTCTGATAAAGGTAATCTGTCCCTTTTTTTTATTGGAATAGACTTTTATTAATTTTGATGTATGTTTATTATTTGTTGTCAATAAATGAAATAAAATGAAAATGAATATTTAAAAATTTTAAATCATACACTGTAAAATAATTTAAATATAAAGCAAACAAACACCAAATTCAGCAAATTTGTAGAAATATGGCCAATTAGGGGTAAATATTGATTTTGAATAAACAATGTAATTATACTAAAATAAGGAGCATAAACAGTGCTAGCAACATATATTGAAAAACTTTTTGATAGATAAGTAAAGGTTTTGTTCTGAAATGTTTAATAGCATTTTACATGTTATAGAGATATATTATATTCAAAATTAATTTAGGAAATCCCACAACTTACAAAATATATTGAGGCTTGCAAGTTGCCTTTAGTATCCTGTTAGTATATGTCCCTGATGACATGCTGTTGAACCAAAGTTTTCCCCAAAAAAATGAATCATCAAAATCATAAATTTACTCCATATTATTCTCATTAATTCTTATGAAATTTTATAGCATTGCTGATTATATGAAACCTAGTCATCCAAGAATGTTAGTTTGGAAACAACCATACAAAAGCTTTGGTCCAATAGCTCAAATCGGATATAGATTACAGTGCAAAAAATAAGATTTTTCATTTAGCTATAAATATTATATATCCACATCAAAATACTGAAAAGCAATAATTTTTGGATGAGATTTTTTTCTGTTATGAGATTGCATGATCCCTATTATGTAATGACATAGCACAAAACCAAAAAGCATGAAAAACTATGAATAATAAAAGCATATGTATAACAGCACATGCAAAAGCTATAACAAACCTTTCCAGCGCTTGAATCTCTCAACTACATTGTCACTTGATCAGCTGTGAGTGAATTCGAAAGTAGAATCACATGCCAAAATAAAGATTGTCGATCCCGATTTTTTTAAATTTGTAATTTAAAGAAATCTTGAGGAATTATGTATTACTTTAGTATGAAATTATATAGATGTAATGATTACAGTATTATTCTTCAGTTAAAACCTTTAAAGATTACTTTAAGTCTTGAATAAAAGTTCATGTTTTAGATGTCAAAAAATAGCGAACCCGACTTTGGAACATCGTCGTAACTGTTTATCATGATCATCTTTGATGAAGGTATAACAATAACGCTTAAAATAAAACAGTTTAGCATGGGGCAATTTTAGATAAAAGTTCAGAAATCTGTTGGAAATTAATTGTATCATAATTATTCCAGTGAGTTGAGCCTTAAGAAGGGGAAGTATCATTGACCATCAAAGTGGGGGGAGGGGGGCAAACAGTTTAAAACTTTGTGTATTTTTATAGATTTCACTTGGCATGGTAAAGGATTTTTTTATGTAAAAGAAATCGTAATTATTTTCACATTGATTGTTTACTTCAACTTTTACGCCAATAATAGGGAAAAAATGACCCGAGGTTCTGCGTTTAAGTCTACAGTTGTATAGTATATTCATGCAGTTTAACTTTTTATGTACCCATTTATTTGCATCAGCTCCAGCAAAAAGAAAGGGGAGCTATTTAAATTCCATCAATGTTGTGAATGTATGTCATTTGATTACATGGTAAAATTCATCTAATAATGGATTAGGCTGGGAATTGATATTAATAGGAATTACTCGTTAGGGTGGCCGGTGTTTAAATACCAGCATGGTACTGTAAGTGTAATATATATGAAGATGTCATCACCCATTAAAAGGTGCTACCAGCTCACCTCTGCTTGCCTGAAATCAATCGAAACTACCACATCACTAGAAAAGCTGGCTCACTAGCGAGGCAGTATATTAGTCCCCTATAAACTGTCAGCTACATGTACACTTTCCCCCACTCAAGAAGCTTTGTTCTGAATATCAACATGGGTCCTCTCTGAGTGTATTGCAGCATGGGTCCTCTCTGAATGTATTGGGCGTCTTTGGTAATAGCAACCATGTAACCACAAATACAAAGTCTGTAATGGACACAAAGTCCTAGCCTTAAGTTTCCCTAAAGCAAGTCACTAAACACTAGAGTCATTATGCTACCACCAATTTTGTAACATGAAGCAGTCATCCATCCAAAGGCTCTTCAGGATTGCTGCAGCTTAACCTGCCTGAAATAGAGGGAAACTAACCACATCACTATAGATAGCGCACTAGCTATTAAGCAGTACTTTTTCATATATTAATAATAACATTGGAAATAAAATGCATGAAATTAAGAATTTGAAGAAAAAGGAACTCATAGAAAATTTAGCACATATTTTTACTGCAGGCCTAGGCCCTCCATGTCTTAAGTTTTGATGTTAATTACAGCAAGTAAATGTCCTTGAATGCAAGATAAAGTTGAGTTAGATGACTCATAATTTTTCTAGTGCATTCTTTTTCTTTTTTTTTCTTTTTTCTTTTTTTTTTTGAAAATTGCAATTTGGAATACCTATGGTATTAATACCAATAAACATCCACAATTTTTTTTGACATGGACCAGGTATTATTATATATGCTGCTGATTTATTGCACTAGTGACTGTAACATTGAAATAAGTCTTAGATACAAATCAATTACATGAATTTAATCTCCCGTCTTCAATTGTTTTAACTTTCATTGCTGTATTTATTAAAAATCAATTTTTATTTTTGTATGTTACAGATAGATCCTAAATGAAGTGTATCTAAGAGATACTGAGTAAGCCTGTCCACAACATGACATTCAGACGAGGACTGATTGTACTACTCCTGTGTGTAGTGTCAGAGACCAGTCAGGAACACCAGTGGGATGATAGGGGCTACATCATTTTCTGTCTGTGTATGGGTAAGTTTGTCTAACAGAACTTTATACTTATATAAATAATTATAAGGCCCTTGAAACCCCTTGTGTTTTTGTGCTGATTTTGTATGTACAAACATAGAAATGGTTAAACTTCAGCTGACATTTGTATATTGGTAATTAAATATATAAAACTTTTTTTTATTCTTATAATGTATTCTAATCACTGCAGGCATTTTCATGTTTATCGTCAGTCATCAACTTGAAAAAGGATACTGTTGATTTAAATGTAGCTTTATCTTACAATATTACAAACGGATTTACATGTTTATGATATTTGGACATTTTATATGCAAAAAATTTTGTACTCTCGATATATATTTTTGGTCGATCAGGACGGTTTGGAAACCAAGCAGAACATTTTTTGGGAGGATTAGCATTTGCCAAGAAAATTGACAGAACACTCATAGTTCCTCCATTTAGGACATATGTAAGTATATAGATATCTGTACAGTAGACTGCATATCCAGCATTATGACCTACAGTTTGTAGCTGATTCCAAAATAACTAATTTTAGATATGTATCCTTAATTCATCAAGTCTGATAAAATCTAAGTTTGATGTTGTGCTCAGGGCATAACAGCCATATAAAGATCACTTTGTCCTTGTCCATCTTTCTGTCCAAATGTGTATGGAGAAAGAGTCACACTTCATGAAAAGGTCACTTGCATGGAGCACAGCTTCCCTGAACTCTTTCTATATATAGTGAAAATGCATTATTTATTAAAAGATCTTCTCCCCTGCTCCTGGGTATTAAGTAAACAAACTAAATGGATAGTTATGATGAGCAAGGGTGTCTCTTCCAAAATTTTTTAATTTCATTGCCCTTGGGTCAGGAGTTCTGATGTTAGGGCAGGCTTACTGATTTTATATTAACTATATATTGAAAATGCATTAATTCTATAAAATCTTTTCCTCTGCTCCTGGCTATTAAGCAAATAAACCAAATGCATAGTTATGATGAACAAGGGTGCCTCTTCCAAAATTGTGAATTTCATGGCCCCTGGGTCAGGGGTTCTGGTGTTAGGGCACAGCTCTAATGATTATAGTGAAAATGCATTAATTCTTTGAAAATCTTCTGCTCTGTCCCTGAGTATTAAGCAAACAAACTAAATACAATAATGTAAATGTATAAATATAAATAAATGTGCCTCTTCTCTGCTCATGGGAGGCAAGCAGAGTTCAAATTTGTAATGTGAGGTAAATGAGAGTTAGCCCCCTTTGCTATTTTGTATTAATCAAGAAATCCTTGTATATAATTTAATTTAAAGGTTATTTGATTGAGTGAGAATACATGAAAGAATGTTATATATATAGAAACAAAATGAAAATGAATATTTCAATTGGTTTAAATGAGCAAACCATGCTCAAAGTCAGATTCTGTAAAGCATTATAAAAGATTGACTTAAAGATTATTTATGTAGCAAAATAGCCAATGAATTGTATCAAACATGTGTATACTGTGGTACTCTGATTGTCAATACTTTGGATTTCCATTACTGGAACTCTTCAATTTAGAGGTGCGTTTGGTTATCTGACTGGGACCGATCAGCAATCCTTGACTGACTCCGCTATACTCCATATAAACCTTGGATGTGATTGGTGGAGAATGTGAAATTGCTGCATTTCTCTACCGGAACTTGCCTTTTCACTCATTTCATATTTCGCTCTGCATAAAGTTCCCCTAAAAAGGTTTTCTAACTTGTGTAATTCCTTCTTGTACATTGGTTTTGATTACAAACTTGGTATTCTTTAAAAGCAGAAACATAGAGTTGGACAAGCCACAAAGTAACTCTGATTTCAAAGGGATGATATTTGGAGGAATTTCAAATTGGATCAGCAAAATGGTAGAACACCATTCACATGTGAGGTTAGGGTGCAAGGCACGAGCTACCCGAGGAGCTCCAAGTGGACTGGGACAACCATGAAGTAGCGAAGAATACGAAACATGCCAACCTCAATCCGATTTTGAATGTTACCGTAAATGTATTTGTCATTCCCATTAAAGAATAGAACTAATAGACATATGTGAAAGTGTGAAAGCCCTGAATTTATTATCCATTGATAAAAATCATGGCATTTTCGAGGCATGTACATTGTATTTAGAGATGGACCATCAACAATTGTCAACAACTTCCTGTAATGGATATAAATTGATATCATTGTCATTTCTACTTCTGATGCATAAAGGTGATTTATCCTTTATCAAAGTGACCAAGTGATCACAGAGAGCCAGGGTGACTAGGGGACATGTAGTTTGCAACAAATGGCAAATACATTTTGTATCCATGTTATATAGCCAAGTGGTGATTGCTGGTAACAAGTACATGTATTACCAAGTTGTTTGTATACCCAAGAGGCAAGTGTTGGTACCAAGTGTTACAAATGGCAAGCAGCTAAGTTGTTTGTGTAGCCAAGAGGCATCACTTCAGCTAAATATGCAGAGAATTAAGACTTGGGCAAACCAAGTATGATTCCAAGGAGATCGCTCGGGTCTCGCATGTTACAATAAGCAAGGACATTTTTACCAGATTTTTAAAATTCTTGGGCAACCTAGCTTCCTCTTTCAGCTAATTTTGCGTTATACCTCTGTGGATCTTTTACATTATTGTATTATTCTCAGGTGACCATTAAGGCCCTTGGGCCTTTTGATTTTATTACTTACAGTGATCATTTTATTTATTTGTTCATTTCATTGTATTTTTACAGAAGCAATTTGTAGGTAGCAGATACATGCATATAAAACATATGGCTTTTATACTTTTTGGCTATAACACTAAACAATTATGGAATTGTAACATTTGTAATGTTCTAACAATAAAGTGCATGTATTGAAATAATTTCTTTATAATCTTTAAACTGATTTTTATTGGAGTGAATATTCTTAAATCATCTTGAAATTATATTCATCAAATGTATGATGATGAAATTTTTGAAGATACAAATTCTTTATAGAATGATATTTTGAGGCAGTACTAGTAATTTCACTTTTCGGGATTGTGTTGATTGCAGAATGATTTTTTGATACACTCTTATTGTATGAGCTTGATTCTCATCATAAATATCTTTTCACTGCTAAAGATGACTGATAAATTTACAAGTATTGATTTTGCTTCACTGTAATATTGATTTCTAAAATTTATAGTCAATAATCTACTTCAACTAAAATGGGTTTACATAGGAATTGAACTAAAAACAGTAATGTATTTATAATGAAATAAATTTTATTAAATATTGCTTTGATCTTTGTTGAAGTACAAACATTTTTATTTGATTGTTTATAAACATAAATGCCAAAATTAATATATGATGATGTTTATAATAAACTTAACAAGCAGATGTCAGTACTTCTTCTTCAAATTTTATTTTAAGGAACCTTCCTAATTGTTTAACTAATTTATGCACTTTAAGCAATTAAGACACAATATCGTACAATAATTCTATTTAGAAAAATATCGAGTTTGATGAATGGTTTAAACTGGAGCCATTAAAGAAATATCATCGAGTAATCCTAGCCAAGGACTTTATGAGAGACCTCGCCCCCACTTATTGGCCCCCAGGAAATAGGACAGGGGTCTGTTATGGGAAACCTGGGAGGGAGTGCAAGATGAAGGAGGGAAACCCATTTGGTCCATTCTGGGATGGCCTTGGGGTAGACTTTGATAGGACAATATCCATGGAGGCCTATTATGGGGAACCAGATGTATGGAAGGAAATGTGAGTACTGTACATGAATTATATGTCATGTGACAATATTATCTTTTTTTTTTGTACATGATTGTAGTGATTTAGGAGATATGATATTTGCATATTATCTGAATGATAAGTAATGAGTTACTCCTTGCTACTATTCACAAAAACGTTAATTTGCATGATGAAAATTTTGTAAAGCTATATACAAAAAAAAATTAAATTTGATTTATAGAACATAGATATACTCCTTTGAGTAGGTTCTACAGCATTGCTCATTCACAGGTGCTTGTGGATAGGACCCCCCCCCCCCCCTTTTTATTAAAAAATCATACCTGCAGTATTATAAAATAGAGTTTGTTCGGCCAAGACAGTCACCCAGAAACTGAAAAAAAACAAGTCAGATTAAACTTGGTTGTTTGGAATTTTATGATACAGCAGGTATATTTTATTAATAAAATGTTAATTCTACATTATTTTTTGGATTTTTCATATGGAATACATTGTAAATGTGTAGTATAAGATTAATTTATGGAAAAAGACAAATAAAAATATTTTTGGACCCAAGGTGTATATTGTATATGTGGGGGGTGGGGGGTCCTGTCCACAAGCACCTGTGTGCTCATTAAATATTTTAAACAGCTTCAAGTTCAGTGTCATAATGAAAATTTTATGATTTGGTTAAGTAGAAAGGGAACTGAACCCTACTGAAAAAGTTATATTGTTTCCTCATTATTTGTTGATTTTTTTTTAACTTGACAAAAGATAAAAGATTGATGCTGCCTGTCTTCTTTTCGCCTTGATGCTCCAATGCCAGCAGTTACCGGGTACATAAAAAAATGATAGTTTGTGTGTTCCTAGCAATAAGAAAAGTTATCAAACCCAGTTAAATACATCATACAGCAGTTATACAAATAATTTGGATAATTGGGGGGGGGGGGGGGGGGGAGTGAAAGATCAATAACTTGGCTACTCTGAAATAGTAGTATATTCTACTACAGTTACTGCAAAGATCAAAGAAATGCTGCGGTCATTATTCTCTAATAAATCACAAATTATCAGTATACTTAAACTGGTTTCCTCTAATCTTGACTGGAAAAGGACCAAGGAACCTTTTGATTTTTGATTGTATCACAGATCAGTGGGAAAAAAGTTTATTTGGGATTTGGATTATATTGGACTTTTTCTAATGTGTGAAGTGCAAATGAAAGAGTATCGTTCATTTATGACATCATAAGACACTCTGTTGACATCAAAATCTAGCTTCTCCTTTTCTCTATATAGGAGTTTAAAAATTCACTGTAGCAGAATAGAAATAATTCTCTAGTCATTGGAAACATTGGAAAATATACCCCTAAAAAAGTCTCAAGATTTTGTTGGAAAATAAAAACCTTGCCCTCCAGGGTTGGGTTTTTAATTCCTAAAAAAATTGAATATCGGGGTATATTCTCCAACAATTCCTCCAATGCAGGAATTATTGCCAAACGTACCATCATATTTCTGGCCTTATAGTTGTCTACTGGTTCTCATTTCAGACTTCCTGTAGATAAATACCCAGTAGTTGCCCTTCGTGGTGCCCCAGCCCCTTTTCCAATTGCTGAAGAAAATATTCCATTGGCCAAGTACCTTCAGTGGTCTGACAGTATAGAAGAAGAGGCCAGTGCCCATATACAGAAGCTGATAGGAAAGGAAAAGTTCATAGGCATTCACCTCAGGAACGGAATAGACTGGGTAAAAGTCACCTGACAGGAGTTAAAAATAGATACGTGTATACATAGGAAATGTTTTAGAGGATGTATCTGTTAGTGTTTTGCATGTTGAAAAAGAATAGAGAATGCATGTAAATTTGAAGAACAAATATCTCAGTAAAACTAACAAAAGTATATTTGAAAAAATGAATTCTACAGTGTACTTATAAAATGTAAGTCATTTTCATGTATCATTTTTTTTTGAAATATTAAATTTTCATAATTCTGGTATTTTTCTTTTATTCAAATTATTTTGAAGCAAAATGCTTGTGAACATGTAGAGGGAAATGAAAATTATATGGCATCTCCACAATGCCTTGGATATGGAAGGAAGAAAAAAGTCACTTATAAAATGTGTTTCCCTCCTAAAGATGAAATTTTAAGGTAAATTTTTAAAATTTAACTGGATAGTTCTACCAGACTACAGTTGTTATTCTTAAACATCAAAAATATTCTTGATTTATACCATCTTGACATTTTTCAGGCTAACCAAAAATGCTGTTTTAAGAACAAAGGCAAAACATATTTATGTGGCAACAGATAAAAATCCCATGAAGGAAGATTTAGAAAACCATTTAAAATCTTTAAAAGTATGTATTCCAAGGTTAAAAATGGATTAAATTGGAACCTTTTTCAAGAAGTTTTTTTCCATGATTATTTTAAATATTAAAATAATTGTTTTTGCCTAATTGAAGTACTAGAGTAAATTTTCACCTGGTTTTATTTTAGGTCAAAGTTCATCATCTTGACCCCTGGCTGCCACAGATTGACCTTGCAATTTTAGGCAAGTCAGACCTATTTATAGGAAATTGTATATCATCTTTTACTTCATTTGTCTCCAGGCAGAGGCTTGTAGAGAACAAGCCAACACAGTTCTGGGGATTCAGCTAGTATCAGCAGATTACAAGCCTACAAAATGTGCAGCAGTGTCATTTAAAGATGAAAGAACATTGTTGTACTGTAAACATTCCAAAAACTCAAAATATTAGAAATGAGTGCAGTTTAGAACCATATTAGAAAAATGTTTTATTTTTCATATGACAAAGAATTAGGGTTACAAAGTAAGCCATACTCTGCACACACTTGGTACATTATTTGTTTATTTATATACATTTATACAAAGATTATAATGATTGTTTATTTAAAATATCTATTACTCTATTATTTAATGAATAAAATTTCAATTCATAAAGTTTTCCGGATATATATAATTATTGTTGATATCTGTTAGCTTTTTATTCACATGCATTGACAACAGAGTCTGGCAGCAATAAAAGTCCAGTCAACAAAATTTTTTATGCTTTTTACATTTTGATATCATATTGTTTCATTATTTTAGATGGTGCTATGTATATAAGTATACATGAAATTTTATGAATAAATATGAGAATTCAAAACGGGTTATTGTTCTTGTTAATACATATATAATATAAACTACACTGAAGTAAAGGAATATGATGCAACAATATTTTATGACGGAAATCAGGATTCTCCAAGAATACCTGAATGTTAATTCTGGTATGAAACTCCATGAAATGGAACATAACTCTCTTCAACCCATCCTCTTGCGTCAAAAATCGGCATAAACCCATTGAGAAGCTAATCAAACTTAAGAATACATGCAATTCCGATACTGTACGTGTGGAAATTCTTCATTGCAAAAACACTCAAGAATATACTTTGTATTTGTTGTCATGTCCACGCCAACATATTGTTTGAAGGGTACAATTCATTATGTGGATAACCGTATTCACGTCAGCCCTTAGATATCGTGATCTAGCTCAAGCACAGTTACCAAACTTATGTCTTTAGAAGCAGATTCTAAAAATTCGTCGAGGGATATTTGTTCGTCGTGATTTTTATCCATTTGCTGGAAAACTTGCTCTATCTTCTGTTGGATAGATTGTTCATTTCCAGTGTCTGTCATGGTACCAGCAATTCTGTGTATTGCCTATAATATGAAGCGCTTATTTATTCATGTATTTACATTTCAAAGCTATCTTCATCACAAACTGCAAATTTTCCTATCCAGCGTTACTCTGAAGTTCTGTTGCACCATAAAATGCAGATATATATATATATATATATATATATATATATATATATATATATATATATATATATATATATATATATATATATATATATATTCTTAACAATAAACTGACTTATGACAACGTGAATTAATTAATAATCACATTGCCAAAGACGTATTTTAAAGGCAAGCTATAGACAAAAGAAAGAGAGAACGAAAAAAAAGTGTCTGGAAGGCCAAACGTGTCAAAATTTATGCTGTATAGAGGGAAGAACCCAAATGTTAATTTTGCTTATTAAATTTTTTCTTATAAATGGGTAATCTCCAAGAGGCCCATGGGCCACAACGCTCATCTGAGTCACTTGGCCTTCCTGCTCTTGAGAAGAAAATTGTTAAAGCTTTTTCTTATTTATTCTCATGTAAAACTCGGATCTCCTATTGTTACCCCAAACTTGCCCAGAGGCAATGACTTGAACTTACAAAATCTTCAGAGTATTTATGAAGAGTTTATATATTCCTGTTAAACCTTAATCCCCTTTAGTGGGCCCCACTCTAGCTCCAAAACTTGAATCTACTCTACATGGGGAAGGTTGTGACTAAAATTTAAGGAGATTTTTAACATATTCCAAAGTTGAAGATATGCCTAAATATAATTTAGACTCCCCTTCAAATATTGACCTCACCCTAGCCCCAGGGGCCACGGTAAGAACAAACTTGAATCTACACAACATGGACAGGAAATACTAACTTATCAATAAGACTAAATGTGGACCTACTGTTCCTGAGAACAAGATTTTAAAGGATTTTTCCGTATATATTCCCATGTTAAATTTTCACCCTCAATGGTAACCCCACTCTAGTCCCAGGGACAATGATTTGAGTATATTTTGAATCTATATTACAGTGGATAATGGCATATTATCTTGGAAAGTACAATTTTATAGCATTTCCCCACGTATTCCTTTATCAAACTTTTTGGCTATCTTAGTCTGGTGGACAATAATTTGAAAGAAAGAAAAAAATATTAAATCTTCACTCGATAAGGTTGAATTCAGTACTAGTGGTTCTTGGGGAAAAAAAAAATAATTTTCTCCACTTGAAAAGAGATTGTGGATCTTCACTTGAAGAAACTTCAATCCATACCACCAAATGATGCTTTGTGCCAAGATTTCTTCATTAGCCATATGATTCTGGAGAAGATTTAGAAAAATGAACAGAAAGGCAGAAAGAAAATTTTTGATCAAGCAGATGAGTTCACATGGACCTTTCAACTAAAACCTGTGCATATTTAATTAAGTTTGTCATTCATTGCATTGCAGGCTTTCCATGACAACTGATATGAATTTGCCCTCCTTGTAAGAACCTATTGCGGAATACATTTTTTTTTTTTTTTTTTTTTTTTTTTTTTTTTTTTTTTTTTTTGTTGCAAAAATGACATTTGCTATAAAATTTGAATAATTACCGGACTAACTGTACCAAGAATGTTTTATTTAATCAAACTATCAATATTTTTACATCTTTAAAATTTAAGCGAAAATACAATCTGAATCATCTACTCTTACTTTTATATTGTTTACAACAAATTTTAGTGATAATTCTTTTTAAGACATGTATTGTCTAAGAACTTACTGAAATAATATCCTTCATTTCACTTTTGGAAATGAATCCATTTTTGTCCGCGTCGTAAATTTTGAAAGCCCACTTCAACTTCTGTTCCACTGTACCTCGGAGTGTAGCACTGAATCCGCAAATAAATTCCCGAAAATCGACGTGACCATCATCATTTACATCGAAAGCTCGAAAAACATGTCTGGCAAATTTTGAGGCATCTCCTTTCGGGAAGAACCCGATGTACATTTTTTCAAACTCGTCAAGTGTGAGGTAACCCTTAGGCCAATCTTTTATAAAGTCTTGGTACCACTGCTGTATTTCTTTTTCGGTGAAATCCGTTTGTTTTCTGAGGTCTGCTATAGTCTGTGGCTTCAGTTTGCTACTCTGCTTTCCCATGTTGTACTCAGATTATGGCAAAAGTTGTATAAAGTCGCCAATTCTGTGTTAATAGTTTCCAACTGCGGAATTTGTAAACATTCTCCTTTCGTGGAGTGGACAATTAAAAAGTAGAAAGCTTTCCATTTATAGATGTGTAGTTGGATTAGGCCAGAGGGGACTTATGTACGTAAACATTTTTTGTACGAATTTAAATCGACATAAAAAGAAGTTGACGCTTAATCAAATATATCTGGAGACTATAGAATTATAGAGTATACCCTTTGACAATCAAAACCAAGATGACGTATTACGTGTACTTTGTAAGTCCAACTTAAATCTTGCATGTACACAAGTCCTCGACAGAACACTGGGGATTCAGAGGAGAATCTTCAATGGGTATTACAAAATTCATGTGTACTTGATGTAGATTCTTCTTGAACAGTATTTACTCCAAAGAATTACAGCGTCTTTGGTCATTCTCAGCATCTTTCCCATTTCATAGATCTGTCGCACGATGGTTTAAGACTTTGCAAAGTTTGAACAATTTTTGATCATCCGGGGTCCCAGAATGGTAGAAATTTTTAACAATGGTTTAACTGTTACGTTAAGGATAAAATTGATTAATTCAATCTTATCTACATGCATAAAAATCTTTTTAGAGAAGTTTAAATTGTAAAATTATAAACATTTTTAGGGTAACACAACTATATTGTTCTACTTTAAACTCACGATCACCATTAGAAATATTCCATCGTACCAAGTCCTTTCTGCGACTTTCTTGTCCCATAGCTAGGGAACTAATTCAGGAATTCAAATTTGTTTTTAGCATGAATTAGTAAGGCATGATATCTTCCATTGAAATCTGCTTAATCTCTTCCTGCCGAATTACAAGAAAAATATTTCACAAGTCCAAGAGTTTTGCGTTCTCAGTCATTAATTATTAAAAATACCAGAGTAACACTACTGTAGATCACAATGTTCTTGCAAACCTTCTCGCCAGGTTGTTATTTGGTATTTATAAGTGAGACAAAATTTTCACGAATTTTTTGTTTTGTTGTACATAATCATTATAATACAAACATACGCGAATAAAAAAAAAGTGTTAGCAAGTAATTACAATGTGTTTGAGCGGATTTTGATTTTCGTCTGTTAAGGGATGCATGGACGTTTATACCATAAGACAGTTTAAAATCTATTTTGGTGCCTTTTGATTTCAAACTGTGTGGAGAAAGAGCAACACTTGCCCACATTCTGTCTGGATGCAGAGTAGCACTAGAGCAAGGACGATGTAGGTGGAGGCATGACGAAGTACTTCGAAAATAAAAATCAGACGGAGCATCAAGTCGGTACCAACAGATACATGTGTATTCCCTTTTTGTGCTGCCGTGGTAGATACATGATAGTTTCGGGTAGAAACTCGTACTTCCTGATGTGGTCCAGAAAACACAGTAGTCAGACTTAGTTTTTTGTTTTGCAGAAGAGAGGATCCTCATCATAGAGTTAACAGTGCCGTGGGAAGAAGGTTACGACATAGCCCATGGGAGGAAGACTGGGGACTATAGAAACAATGTAACCAGAGAGGATGGAGGACATGGCTATTCCCCATAGAATTTGGATGTCGTGGATTTCCTGCGCAATCTGTATGAAGAATGACTGAAGCCTCTAGAATCGCTGGCAGACATAGAAAAAAAGAGTTGTCAAGGTGAGGAGGGAAAGAATACACCGTCCTGGATTTAGCACTTCAGAGACACCAAGGAGTAGAAGTCGTGTGACACGCAGTGAGAAGATCGTCGCTATGGACCCTCTAACTGTAGGGTGTCATGGTTTTTTCACTTTTTTTGACAGGGTCGAAACATCCAGTGACAGTTGGAAACCATCTGATGCTGTCAGTGGCAGATTTACCATCGAGCAGTAATCCAGATAGCGGCAACAGATTCCAGACCCCGAGATCATAAAACATCTTAAGATTAAATCAAAACCTTTATCCTGTACTGAACTAAGAAAGTAAGTTGACAAAATCTGACTTTAGTTTAAGACTGTTTCATAAACCTAGGACCAGATTAGGGGCTTCATAACAGAAGCAGATAACCTGACCAGTAAGCAGAACTCGTACCATTATCTGTAATTTATCAAGGCAAGGTATTCAATTCGAGTTTTATGCATTTACACGTTTTAAACATATCACAGACTTTTTATCCCAATAGTATATTAAAACACTTTGACTATAGTCCCTTTTTATGTTTCTGTCCGTCTTTCTCAAAAAAAGAAGAAAAGACCCGGGACTTATTAGCTCACCTGAGCCGAAGGCTCAAATGAACTTTTCTGATCAAAATTTGTCTGTCGTTGTTGTCGTAAACTATTACAATTTCATCTTCTCCAAAACTACTGAGCCAATTTCAACCAAACTTGGCACAGAGTATCCTTGGGTAAAGGGTATTAAAGTTTGTTCAAATGAAGGCCACATCCTCCTCCAAGGGGAGATAATTAAGAAAAAATAAACTTAGGGTGGGGTCATTTAAAGAACCACTGGGCCAGAAAAGATGAAACTTAAGCGAAACCTTCCCGACATAGTGTAGATTCAAGTTCCTTCATATCATGACCCCTGGGGGTAGTGTGGGGCCACAATTGGGAATCAAAGTTTTACATAGGAAAACAGGGAAAATCTTTAAATATCTTTATTTCACTTTTTAACACAAAAAGATGATACATACATAGTTCTGTAAGCTTCTTTTTTTATTTAGCTTTCACTACTTGATCAGTAATGTGATATTTGTACAATTTAGACTAACAGTGGAATGTTATCTTAACTGAAGCTTTTTCCCCTAAGAAAGAAAAAAAAGAATACAAAAATAATGATTCCATAATCAAAGCACTTATTTTAAATGTTCAGTAAGTGAATTCTGTTTAAAATTAAGAGCATCTACTTTAAGAACTTGATGATCTTCACTTTTCCAGCCTGCTCAGCCACCCAGAGGTGGTTGTCACTACATTCAATGCTAATTCCACCGGGACGAACAAGACCACACTTCAGCACAGTAATAGGGACGCCATCGGAGTCTAAAATGTGAATACAGTTGTTGTTTGTGTCTGACACCGAAATGTGATTATGACTGTCCGTTGCGATATAACGTGGTGCAAAGCTCTCCGAAAGTTTTGGGTTTGTTTTCAGCAATATTTTGACTTGAGAGACCCTCCCTGATTTAATATGATCACTGCTGCACCATTCCAGTCTACAATGCAGACAGTAGAGAATGCAAGCGTCATAAAAACAGCCGCAGAACAAATAATGTATAAAATCTCAAACATGTACATATGTATCTGGATTTTTGTTTTAATTTGTAAGTAGATAACTGACAAAGTAAGGGAAGGCGCCGCTTAAAGTCGACTGTGTTTGACATGAAAGTACATGTATTTTATAATCGTTTGATCTCGTATTATTCTGTATCTGAAGAAAATCGAAATACCTCATCTTTCTTTTAGATGATGCCTAACACTAGCTGCAGATCTGTAGGTCGCTGGTCATAAAAAAAAAATTGAGATGGGCGACTCGATCCCAATAATAATTTGCCAGAGTTTAACCATACTGCAACAAAACGTTCAGGGACCAGGCAGCCAATAAATGAATTTATTTTCTATGAAATTCAACTGATTTTTGTAATGAAAATATGAGTGTTTTCGAGTTAAGAATTTTCGAATTTATTACGAAATCTTAAAATAAAGAGTTCAAATCATTGGGTCTCAACCCAAAATTTTAACTCATAGGAAATTGTAATCTCGAAAACACCCATATTTTCATTACAAAAATCAGTTGAATTTCATAGAAACGTTTTGCCACATTAATGACATTATTGTCAAGTGATTTAAGCATTGGTTAATGAGGGGAATTCCTACTTTGAGAAAGAAAAAGGGGAAAATTTGGCTCTAGTTTGAGATTTCCCCGCGGGGAGAAATACTACTCTAGAGTACAGATTCCAGGGGGAAAGTTGACTATGGGGGAAATCCCACTCTACAACCGGTATAAATAAATGTATATCAACTTGTCGGAGGACAATACCAGGAGTACCAGGACGACAGTTAACATTAATTAAGCCTGTCAGATTTACTCAACAAACCCTCTTGAAACGCCATCTTGAAATTGATATATATCTCGTGTGCAGTACTGTTAAAGAGGAGATCTATATTGAACCAAGTTGAATGCTTTTGAAAGGTACTTATTAACTACTACTGAAATACTTACCTATATATGCCAATACTAATCAGCGTGTTTTCTTCTCACTTTTTTACTCAGTGTGTCATTGTAACTATGAAAACACCTGCCTTGTGACTTTGGTCACTTCCTGTTTAAATAAGCATGGGACTTCATTTTTGTTCAACAGCAACGTGTTTGAATGGCTATGCGCAGTAATAAAAGGCGGGACCAATGGAAGGTCAATATTAAGGTTCAGTGATAGACCATTTTAAGCCAGTCTCAGGGAGTGCACGAAACACTCTACCTATATATTTGTTTATTTTTATATGTAACGATTTTCTTTGACCGAACTCAGTAGAGACCCGATATATATAAATTAATGCAGATAGTTATCTGATATTACAAGAAATACATTCATCAAAATCAGACTGTTTAAAAATTATTCACAATGTATACTGATATTTTCTCGGAATATTAACCTAGCTGTAAACTTGGTAGTATTTCTCTTACATCGATGTACTGAACACACGTATGTACATATCGTAACTCTTACCATTTGCAGTGCGTTCCAATATCTATATATTTTTTTTAGTAAACTTAAAATTCATATCTTATTCCTAGTACACACAAAACTTCATGAAAATGAAATCATGTCCGCGTTTTCTGAAACATTGTTACCACTGGTACCCTAATTTTCATCTCATTCCATTATATTAGATGAACTTACTCCATCAGTTCCACCACTAACTTCATCTATATACATGTATGAGTCTGCACTAATCTAACTACAGAGTGTAGCTTCACTACCTTCGGATATGAAAACCATTTCCTTACTGACGGAATGAGTCCCACTCGGCTAAGAGGGACACTTGCAGTTTTTGTTGTTACTGACCTAACCACTATAGTTTAACTTTCTTGGAGGAAATAATCTGATTCATTCAGATCTGATGAATCATGCTCCTGATTTAATTACACGGGTTGACTGTTGTTTTCAAGGACAGTTTTCATCCTCCCCGGAGCTGGAATAGGTTTGGGTGTTTGGATATGTTCACTGGGAGCAGAAGATTTCTTACAAGAGTGCACTGCCTCCCTTCACCATTTTCTTTCTTCACAACAAAGACAGGAATTTCAGTATTCAGCTGAGAAACTACAATATAAGAGCCTTCTCACCATCCATTGGAAAGTTTATTTCCATCAAACACCAAGATCTATGTATTATGTAGGCATACTTTGGTGTCTCCTACTTTGATGGTGGTTTTTCGTACTTACTGGTCACAGTGCTCCCATTGCTTCTCGCTGGCTTTCTTTGTAGCTTTTGAAGCCAACTTATGTGCTTTCTCAAGCCTTTTCTGTAGATCTGTGACATAGCTAGACATTTGTTGCTTCTTGGCAGTGGTGCAGTTGTTTAGTTCAAATGCTGTGTCTATCTACAGGTAACCTGAGTTGTCCAAACAGGAAATAAGGAGTGGTATCCTGTCTTAATGAATGGTATACATGTATCACCGTGTGAAATTGACTGTTTTATTCATAATTCATTTTGGACTCTAAATGTTATATTTAATTTTTGTTTTAATGTGATATTTAATATTCTGAAATTATTTGGTTTTAAAATTTGCATTTTACAAATCTTTCTCATGTTAAGTTATTAAGTGTTCATATAATTACTGAGTGACACTTGTCACAGGGGCAAAGTGTTAATGCCCAAGGACCTTTTAATCCCTTATACAAACATTATTTAATTATCGGCGTTCTTTATGTCCATGCCATCAAAGCATTTCATTTATTGTTACCTGTATCACTTTTACTCATTGTCAACACCTGGCAGAGTGATAATGCCCAAGGACCTTTCAATCCCTTATACAAACATTATGTAATTATTTATTATAATTATCGGTGTTCTTTATGTCCATGTCATCAAAGCATTTCATTTATTGTTACCTGTATCACTTTTACTCATTGTCAGCACCTGTCATTTTTAACTCATTGTTCAATTCCTCTTAAATACAATTGTCAAATTTTACTTGTCAGTTCGGAGGCCGGGTGTACTACCGGCCACGTCCGACTCGTTCCCCATCATGTTTTAACTATTTCTACTTTTAACAGTTTGGAGGCTATGGCCATATCCAACTGGTTACTATTTATTGTTGTTCCATGTTAATCATTTCCATCGTTGGGACTTGTTAATAAATTCGGAAACCAATTCCTCGTTACTTTGGACTTTTATATGTGCCCTAGGAATACGGCTTTACTACTTCCGGCCCATAGCGCCATTCATTTCCCTGCCAACATTCCCTCTTGCCCGATCAACAACACATCTTTTAGACCCAAACTACGCGGTCATACATGCATCTTTGGTCCATGCAACATATCTGCCTTTGTTTTGTTATGTTCCCAAAATCCGGAATAATGTCTGTTTAAACCTCTCAGTGAGACCATTACCAATAGGATGATACTGGTGTTACATTAAAGTTTTAGAATTCATAGAATTTAAAACTAACTATTGTTATAGTTAGTTTTAAATTCTATGAATTCTAAAACTTTAATGTAACATTTGCATCGGAATTGAACTCTTGACCAATCAGGAAGCTTGTTACAAAAATTACTACAGGTAAGTCGGCAATTTCTTTTGATAAGCTTAACACTGATTACTTACATTATCAAAGAGCCGAAAGGGGATGAAGTCAATTAGCTAAATTTCCGTTTTGAGTTTTTAACAATAGGAAGATTAGGTGAAGCCGAAACAAAATAAATAAGATTCTAAATCGTACAATTAATTTAATACCTGTGACATAGCAGTGTGTCAAGCCAATCTCGCAAAGAATTTGCCAACAAAAAGGCCGAAATAAAAAAGAATTTTACAGTTTATTTAGTAGATAAAATAATTGTTTCGCAATCTGTCATGAGTAAATTGATTTCCGAAAGGTGACAGATTGCTTAAATTCCGCATTTACTGGATTCAAGAAAGCGTATATTTTTTGTGATACAGAAAAAAAAATAATTGATATTATTTTCAGAAAACATAATGAAATTAAACAAAATTGAAATTAAGAAAAAAGGAATTATCTTCATAAAAATTAAAACAAATTTAAAATGTCAAATTGTAATGAATTAAAATTCATATAATATAACCTGTTACATTAAAGTTTAAGAATTCATAGAATTTAAAACTAACTATAACAATCTGATTGTCACATAGTAAATTTTACAAAATTAATTTACAATCTAACAAAATTTGATTTCATAAAAAGAATGATTTTTAATGCTTCATATACTTAAAATTATTTATCTAACAATTAAAATGTTTAGACAGTAAAAAGGAAATTGCCACTCAATACTTATTTAAGGAATTAGTGTCAATCCTCTGCCTTAAAGAGTGTCCGACTCGTATGTGTGAAAATTGCGTAAATGTGTTAATTGAAGTTTGAGTGAATGCCATGTGTTGTGTGAGAGAATCAGTGTTAGAACCGCCGTGGACTATCCCGGACGTGAATATTAGATGTACTGGATATTCCGTCATCAAGAAAATACAATTTTACTCTGGACTATTCCGAGTTACCAAAACGTTTGTGTGTGTGTCCGTGTGTGAGCATTTCAAATCGTCTTTGTTTTATGTAACTTTACTCGATTTATTTTCGGATATACAAACTTCTACATTTATATTTCGTAAATTATCTTTTAATAAATTTCATCACAAGTTCACTTGTGTTAATTGGTGGAGAATCCGGGTAATTTACCCGGGGGTATTGCATTTCCTGTGCAATACCTAGATCCTGGTACCAAGACTCTTACCAAAGCAGTTAATTTCCCCAAAATCGCGTAAAAATGTCAAATTCAATGTGTTATCGTTGTGGAGAGTTATTCTACAAAGGACATCTTATCAAGTGTAAGGCGATGAATCGACAGTGCTTAAAATGTCAACAATTTGGCCATCTTTTCAAACAATGTAGGAACTCTGAAACAAAGCAAGTGACCATTCTTGTCGTGAAAAAGAAGTCCGTCCACAAGAAAGAACGAGACCAAAAACGCTGGAACGAATTTAAGTTTAGACGCGTGTCTGCCATGGAATTGCCATTTTACAGCATTGAGTCTCAGGCTGAGTTTATATTTGCAATCAATTCTCTGTTTCCAACGTTTTCAGCTGAACAAAGCCGTAAAAGGGCGTCATTAACTGATAAGATACGGATTTTAAAGAAAACAATTGTGAGCCAGGAAGAAAAACTTTCATCTTTAGAGTGTAAACTCTCGGCCGCGTGGAAAAAGAACAAAGACGAGAAGGAAAGGAAAAAAGTACATGTTGAGGACTTGGAAGGCAAACTCACAGACGCGCGCACGAAGAACAAAGCCCTTGAAAAGAGAATCGGAAGAATGGAGACCGACATTTATGAACTCAAAGAATCCCTTCATTCAGTGGCTGATCGGCTCGTTGCAAAGGAGCGACAACTATGCTTTATTAAGTTAGCGCCACCGTCACCCTGTGTTCCAGTTCCAATGCAGAAGAAAAGTGTCGGGATCAACACGGACACTTGTAACGCTAGGGACGTCAGCGACGCCTCCACACAAATGCCAGCTATGGAAGCGCACAGAACAGGAAAAGTTTGGTACCCGCCAGGTCATCCTAACCGCCTAGAAGCTAAACAGTTCTCGAGGAAAAAGAGACCGAAACATAATAAAGAACAACAGAATGCTGCATCCCCTAACTACTCCGTATCACCATATCCTGTAGTGCGGACGTATCAACCTTCACAACAACAGCGCTTTTCATCCTGTCCCCGACAGTCTTCAGTACCGACAGCAAATTATGTTCCCTTTTATGGATTGTGACTTTGAGCTCCGGACTGTCAGAGAGTTTTTACAAATTGTTTAAAAATTCAATATATATATACCCTTGTCATATTTATATTATTCAATAATTTGAGAATTTGTAGACTCTGGGACAGAGTCTCACTGGGAGAGGGGAAGGATTGTCACATAGTAAATTTTACAAAATTAATTTACAATCTAACAAAATTTGATTTCATAAAAAGAATGATTTTTAATGCTTCATATACTTAAAATTATTTATCTAACAATTAAAATGTTTAGGCAGTAAAAAGGAAATTGCCACTCAATACTTATTTAAGGAATTAGTGTCAATCCTCTGCCTTAAAGAGTGTCCGACTCGTATGTGTGAAAATTGCGTAAATGTGTTAATTGAAGTTTGAGTGAATGCCATGTGTTGTGTGAGAGAATCAGTGTTAGAACCGCCGTGGACTATCCCGGACGTGAATATTAGATGTACTGGATATTCCGTCATCAAGAAAATACAATTTTACTCTGGACTATTCCGAGTTACCAAAACGTTTGTGTGTGTGTCCGTGTGTGAGCATTTCAAATCGTCTTTGTTTTATGTAACTTTACTCGATTTATTTTCGGATATACAAACTTCTACATTTATATTTCGTAAATTATCTTTTAATAAATTTCATCACAAGTTCACTTGTGTTACTGGTATGGTATTGTTCATGATCGTTCTTTCCCAGCTGTGAAGGCAGGGTTCCTTAATGAGAGTAGATTAGAAATTAGTTGTTTGATCTGAATGCTATCGTTCTGGAAGGCCATAATGAAGAACAAAGTTGTTATTACAATTTTCCTTATGATTTAACGATCATATTTCGGGGAAAACAGATTTTCAAATTTTTGAAAACAAAGTGAACATGCAAATCTCAGGTTTGGTTTTATATTTGATAATATTCCGTGACAATTTTCATCGCATGCTAAAAAAGTTACATATGTTACGTTCAATCATGCACAGTTTATTTATATATATACGTGTGTTTCATATTTAGGCAAATAAACTTTTTATTATCTTCTTTAAAAGGTAAAGGTTTTTTTTGTATATGGCAAATTTTAAACATTTTTTCCCTAAATGATTACAGATTTTACTAACACTCCTTAAGCTTATTACCCGTTATACAAATCAATTGTTACGCTGTTTATTCAACTTTATAGAAACAAAGATGATACATATCCGAAGTGTATGTATTTTATTTCTGTTTTCGTGGATCAGAAACACGAAAACTTCAGGTAAGGCTATCTTTAAGAATTGTTTTTGCCCTCTTCCGACCGACTGGCTAAAAAATGGCCCCCCTCAAAACTTTTTATAGCCTCCAGGAAACGGTATTTTCCCCTGAATATTCTCATCCCGTAAACATGTATATTGGAAGTTTTCTGGGGAAAATGTTTTTCCCATCTACCTACCGACCATATTTTTTACTTCGAGTCGGGAGAGAGCAAACAAACATTATTTTAAAGATGACCTAAATTCTAAATCTTTTGTTGTTTTAGATTGTAATTACATGTAATTTTTAAAGATCATGTCGTAATAATACGCACATTCTTTCATATTTAGACCAGACTTTTGCTCTCTGTGACGGTCAAAGGGGTTTAATCGGCTGTGAAAATGGAACCAAGATTCAGATCTTATCAGCCATTTACGGTCGAACAGACGAAAATGTGTGTCCTACTGGTAAAATAAAAACACGTACCTGTCGTTCAAAGATGTCTGAAATCAAGACAAAATGGAACTGCAATGGGTACAGGATGTGTCACCTTCATGCTGCTGATCAGTATTTTGGAGACCCCTGCCCCAATAATTCTAAATATCTTGAGGTCAAATACCGCTGTATCAAGGATCCCAACAACAATTCAAAAGGTACTCAATATGCTCCTTCCCAAACCATTAGCAAATCCAGAAATTTTTACCAATTTAGGGGGAGGGAGTCAACACCCACTCTAAAAAAAATATTATTTTGTCAAGAAATTACAACGTTTCAAATTTATTTACCAATGTCGAAAAAATGGAGGGGGTGGGAAAAGCCGTTTTCCTTCCTACATGTATATTTGACTCACCCTACCAACTTACGAAGGGTACATTTTTCCTTGGGAAGTCCAAATTTTGTTTACTTACTTTATATATTTTCAAAAATATGTGTACCTTAACCACGGAAATGCGTACAATCAGCACACTGGAGTCTTCACAGCGCCATCTGACGGACTGTACGTGTTTACTTGGTCAAGTGTTGTGGCACCGAAAAAGCTTTTTGACTCAGAAATCCTTGTCAATGGACAAAGAAACGGACTCGGAAATTGTAACAATGTATTAAGTCAAGGATATGAAAATTGTTCAAATACAGTTCCACTGCTTTTGAAAGTCGGAGACAAAGTCAACATTCGTACGACAAGTGCAGACTATCTGCATGGAATTTGGACAAGTTTTAAGGGATGGAAAGTATAGAATAATACAAGAAATAAAATAAAGCAGATTGTAGGTAGTTACACTTTTTTCAACAAAAAAGAAGGAAAAATGTATTCCATTCCTCATAGAAAACCTTTTAGAAATGCAATCACTCAATAAATGACCTCTTGTCTCTATTGAACGTGGACAGAAACCAGTTTTTATCGTTGCTTTATCGAGTATCTTAAAGCTCATTCGGGTCAAATTAAATTTATTTCATTTTCGCTTCTCTCTTCTCTAAAAATAAGAGAAAAATCGCCTTGGCGGATGCATGTGCTCTATACATACATGTACTAGCATACCCTTAACCTTTTAATTGTTCAGCATCTTTTATGTTAGTTATAAATCTATTTTAAGTTTTGACTAGTAAGCATGTGTAACACGCAAGGAGAAAATGTATGACTGGACCGGGAATCGAGCCCGGAACCCCTGCATCACGAGTCAGGTGCTCATCCGACTGAGCTACCAAGGCCGATATCCACGGCCCAAACCATTACATTCCTCCCTCCTTAAATTGTCTTCGCCCCAGAAGACATAACCCAAGTTCTCAGGACTTTCACCTGCAAGTCCAGGGTGGTCAAAAGCACCAAATCTGTAACAGGAAAGGAGAAAATGTATGGCTAGACGGGAATCGAACCCGGGATCTCTGCATCACTAGTCAGGTGCTCTATCGACTGAGCTACCCAGGTCAATATCCATGGCCCAAACCATTACACATGCATACAAATTGAATCAAAGTACTCATTCATTCGAAATGATGTCTTCGTCATATGGTTTGATTTGATTGTGTTGATTTAACGTCTGAGCATAAAGAGACGACACAAGCTTACATGACGTGCCAGAGACCTATACTTTCGATATGCAGGGATGATTTTTGTTTTTAAAACCCGATAAAGGATGTATTCTGCTGAGATAACTTGCATTAAACTTTTTAATTTTGGCATTTTAATTCTATGTATTCATTATTTGAAACAAAATACGAAGTAGAAAAAATATGAGTTAGTGAGCATATTTTTGAGATACGAGACATTGAAAATATGGCGGGAAACCAGACTTATTGGGATTTTTCATAAATAATGAATAGAAAATTTCTTTCTCTGAAAACTTATGATGTGGAATGAAACTTTTCTTGATATTTTTTAGAAGACTGTCAAATCTACAAACAATCAAAATGCAAATAGAAAATTAGGGGGTTAATGCCCCCCCCCCCCCCAATAAATAAATAAAATAAATGATATTTTGATGTATAAAACAAGAGGTATTCCGCAAAAATGACTGACACCTCTGCATTGTCCGCAGAATGCATCCTTAAAATATTTCTCTTTTCCGATTTTATTTCTGCTTATGCGCACGCCCTGTTTTTGAACTCTTACATGTATGTAGCTAGAGTGGTCGAGGTGACCAAACGGTATTTTCATTGATTTAATTTCCATCTTTCCTATCAGATTTGAAGTTTTATTATTTTTTTTTTAATTATCAAATTCATCATGACTTGAGATAAGAAGAAAAATACATTTTCGTGTTCATTTTTGTTCAATATTTGTTGTGGTGACATATTTTTGACATCGAACGTGTTTCTGATACCACTGTCGCCTTTACCCATAGAAATTTGGGATTTGATTGTGTCCTCGACTTGGCTAGCGAAGATGGTGTAAAGGCTTGAAGTTTGTGGTTTTCATATGCCAAATAACATGTACATAACTGTACAAAAATTATTCCACATCTATTTACCCAAGGAGCTTAGAATTTGTAATAGAATATTGTTAAGGAAAATACTTTCTAACGGAGAGATATTTTTAATTCATAGATCGGATTATTACTTGCAGGAATAAAAAGGATAATTGATTTTGTCTTGTAATTATCTCAGGATACATATATCTTGTTTTTGGGTTAACTCTAGCAACTCAAAAATTCTGCTTCTCTTGGAACAGGAACATATTTAGAACGAAAAACAGAATTATCTTCCGGATACAGAAAAAAATACATATGGTATAATACTTTTTTCATCTTATCATTACAGTATTTAAGTAGTGTGTCATTTTTTTTTCTTTGAAATTTATAAAAATAATGCTTCCAAATGCATCTAAATCGACCAAAATGGTAATCATTTATGTAAATAAGTCTACATGTAGTTTAGGGAAAGGATACTACCTCTATACAATCCCCCGTACACCCTTTCCAGAAACCCAGGAACGGGCCCAAAGACCTCATCACACTCGGCACACCTTGGCCGATTCGTACATGTACCTCATCTACATGTAATTTGATAATTTAATAGTTTGATGAAAGGCGGAAATCATCCGGTTTGCCGAATGGACCTCAATATGATTTATCCCCGGAATGGATGTAAAGGGTGTAAACAAGATAATTATGAGTATTAATAAGCCAAAAAGAAAAAATCATACATATATCAATATTTTGACATATTTATCATGATGTGTATTGATACGTATAACTTTCCAATTTTGTTCTATAAAAAAGTCTTTGAAACATAAATTTTCAAAAATTTCATTTTATTATCGACAGGTGTAAAAGTATTCTGCAATCTACTCGTATAAATACAGAATAAGAATACAGAAAAAGAAACGAATTACATTTTGTAAAGCAAGAAATGACATAGATCCTCGTATAAAAAAAAGGTATTTCAGATCATCGACAATCGACTTCAAGCGAAAAGCATTACCATATCTCGTTACACCTCCTGTTAACAGGCCCGTAGCAAAAGTAGGGGGGGGGGGGCTTCTTCACAAAAAATCTGACAAGCACGAAAAAAACCCTATACTGATCAAAAAAGTGCGGGGCCAACTGGTATAAAACACGCTTGAGGAATTTGAAATGAGCTGGTCGATTAATATTTTTAATTCTTTCATTCTTGAAATTGAAATGGCAGAAATTTGACAATATTGATAAAATATTTTTGAAAATTTTAAAGTAACCTATTCTAAATTTGCAAAAATATAATTTTCTGTTTTTTCTTTTTTTATAAGTTTCTAATATGAAATGAGCTGAAAAATATGTTCAAAGTCTTATCTTTCATGACTTACAGGTTTGGTTTAAAGATTCAAATCTGAATCCTGATGAAAGTATGTACGAAACAGGTCTCCGAAACACTCTTTGCTCAAATTTATGAGCATAATAAAAAAAAGTATGCAAACGCACGCAACAGGTAAACTGCATTCGTATCCCAAGGAGTACGAAAATAAGATTATTATCCAGATCGATGAGACACGTTGCAACACATATAAAAAAGGGGGTAAGGAAAAAAAACTTAAATATTTTTTAAAATAAATACAAAACCTCGAAACTGCCCTACATCGAAAAACCTTTTCATTGAGAAAGTTAGGGGGAGGGGGTCGATTCTCGGTTTCGTTTCCCATCCTTTTTTAAATGAATTATTTGAAATAATTCTTTAATGATAATATATATAAAATCATGAGTAAAATATTTTTAAAAATTGCTTTAAAGTCTTAATTGTTTTCACTATGTTTCAATTTCATTTTCATTTCTCATTAGAAAATCATTAATTTATGATTGTATAAAAAGAGTTTACAATAGCATGGCCGTAGGAACCGGGGGGGGGGCACGGGGGGCCGTGCCCCCCCCCATAATTTTGCCGATATACAGAATACTATAGAAAATTTAGCTACTATATACCCCCCTCAATAATAACGTCTGATGACCTTTTTTTTTTTAGTGCCCCCCCCCCCCCCAAGCTGAAAATCTGAAAATGTATGGTTGTGCCCCTCCCCCCCCAACTGAAATTGCTTCCTACGGGCCTGAATAGGTAAGTTATGTACTCCCTACCTGGGAGTGTGTAAGACATGAACGCAAATCGTTATGATTTTCCTGATAATAATTAAAAGTACTGAAATCAGTTTTAACTCATTTCATTTCTCATTAAATACACTAGAAAAAAAATAATGTCACTATAATGTCAATAATCAATGAAAATAATAAGCTGTGATATGTTTTTGACATATTTTGTATTAACCAAAACAAAACAAAACAAAGCAAAAAACTTACAGACATCCTATATATTGGTCATCCGAGAGCATACATTATGTCAACTACATGCAATATGCTAGTCCGTTATTAAATATAAAGTAACTTTTGATCCAATAACAGTAGAATCGCATCAGGGTATATATCGTTACAATATAGCGGAATACTAGTAGGCTATAGTTGTATGAAACAAGTCGTACATAGATGAAACTGTTGCGTTTTTAAGAGTTCCTGTCAGCTTTAAATATCATGGAAAAGGAGAGATTTGTTTAACAATATGGGAAACTTGCTGTAACATGGTGCGTTTTTTTTTCTACCAAATGTTTTATGGCTTGAATAAATTATATTTCACACATTTATATGTGGTTCTGTTTGGTGATTGTTGAGCACCCAACCTCCTTAATTATGTCCTCTAGCCATCTTTATCGTATTTTATAAAGTAATAATGCTAAAACGTTATTTTCAATTTTCAATTCCCTTTATTTTTTAAACACAAAAATATAATACACTGATACATTATTCTTGAAACTTTTTAAAAAATGTTTATCTTTCAGTTCTTGATCAGTAGTGTGATTAATTTATACATTTTACATTTTCTCGTATTTTCAAATATCATTTTAATTGACTGAGGGATTTTTTAACCTCAGGAAAGGAAAAAGAATGATTACGAAAATAATGATTCCATAATCAAAGTGCTATAATACTAGAAATCTGGTGAACAAAACCTTTTAAACTTAAGAGTTATCTACTTCAAGAACTTGATGATTTTCACTTTTCCAGCCTGCTCAGCAACCCAGAGGTGGTTGTCACTATCAATGCTAATTCCACAGGGACGAACAAGACCACACTTTAGTACGGTAAGAGGGACACCCTCAGAGTCTAAGATGTGAATACAATTGTTTTTTGTATCTGACACCAAAATATGATTATGACTGTCCGTTGCGATATAACGTGGTGCAAAGCTCTCCGGAAGTTTCGGGTTTGTTTTGCAGCAATATTTTGTCTTGAGACACCCTTTCTGATTTAAGATGATCACTGCTGCACCATTCCAGTCTACAATGCAGATATCTCCATTTTTGTTAAGTGCAATTTGAAGGCATTTGTAAGGCCCCTCGGTTGCAAAAAGATTCTGTTTCTGTTCGTCAAATTGGAATGTATGTTTAATGATGCCACCAGAATACTGCATGACAATGAATTGTAGATTTGAAATTCTATCATTGCATAATGCGACAAATTTATCTCCTGAGGAGGATACACATATACCAGATGGTATCCAGACGCACCTAATGAGGGTCCTTAATTTTCCATCGTTTAACATCTTGACGCTTTTCTCGCTATAATCTGTGTAAAGAAGTTCCCCTGTTCTGGTAGTTGCCAAACCAAATGGAATACTCCCTTGTGCAGTCACTTTTCTAAGCACTAATCCCGTGGGGTTAATTTCTCTCAGTGTGTCATCATTTCCATTTATCCAAGCCTTCTCGTTTTTCAAACAACTGATTCGGTACAGAGGGCAGCATTCTGTATCTATGTCGGTGGTGACAGAGGGTGTTGCAAGGAAATTGTTATAAAAATGTAATTTGCTAGCCCAATCGATTTCTGTCGTGTATTTTAAAGTCGACGATTGAAGATTCCCCATTAATTTGCAGACCTCATTCATAGGTGCTGATGCCGGCTGGAACTGGGCGAATGAAATGTATAGTCTCTGGGGAATTTGTGACATTACTTCCAGCTGCGATTCAAAAGTAAATATTTGATCAGTCCTTGTTGCAATTATCTCTTCGTTTTTCTTTATGATTTCATGAATATTATCCAGAAGTTTTTGAAACTCAGACAAATTGTTCTTGAGGTTATCCAAATCTTGTTTTTCTGCAGCATCAATATTTTCAAGTTGCTTTTTGATGGCGCATTCCACAGTTCTATGTAGTTCCTCTCCATGCTTGGTTACATTTGATTTCAATTTGATGCTGTTTTTTGGCAGTTCCAAAATGTCTTTTTGTATCTGTTCAACGATATTTCTCACTTCTGGAGCTATTATGCATTTTAGAAATTCTATTTCATTGTAAATGGTTTTCTCCTTAACAGCATAAACTTCATTTATCTTGCTCAATTCGTGTTCAGAGTGAGCTTTGGATACGATGCAATCACTGCAAATGGGAAGGTTACATTGCTGACAATGAATTTCACACCTCTGATCAGAATGAATGGAACAGCATGGCTGTGGGAAAAATTTATATTTCATAGAGTACTTGATAACGTCATGGTTTTGAGTAGGCAAAGATATTACATGCTGCCCAGCACAAGTAACACATAAATTGAATTTACACGTGTTGCAGATGAGTTCAGCTTTGTTTGGACAAAGAAAACATGGAATCAAAACCTGGGCAGTGGTTACTTCATCAACCAAGTGCTCCATGGTACTTCAAGAACCTTGGCAATCTAAATTGAAAAGCAAAAGGTTTTATTTGATATATTTCATATAACATACATGTGCAAAAAGCAGATTTAATTATTTTGAATGTATCTAATCCACAATTTTACATTTCAAAGAATTTTGCTTTATTTGTTATTCCTTTAATTTTTTCACATTTGCCTTTCCTCTTGTCTTTAATTTAAATTCTCTCCTTAATAATCAAAAGGATGTATAGTATGATTTAAAACTACATGTATGATAATAACGAAAAATAAATCTTGTTTATTTTACAAATATTGCCAAGATATAGGCTTGAAGCCTAGCTAACTCACTATATAACTCAATATACTTACGAGGGCCATTCAATAAATAATGCAATGTACAGTTTATCAAAATAAATGTAGAAGTATTTAATTTTAATTTTTGACAGTTGAAAAGTTCTGTTAAATAAGGAACCTCTAATCACAGAAAACCCCATGCTTTTCCGTATTGTTCTCGCAAAAGAATTCACTTTTAAAGTAAACATGGTCACTACACTGAGCTGATAACTGTTTAAAAATGATCTCTGTCAAGAGGATGAAAATGAGGACGCATGTGAAAACTGTGCTTCATTACATAAATAGCTAAAGAACCAATAGATATGATTTTAATATGTAGAAAGATTAGTCTTTCACACAAGTTTTCAGATGGTTTCGGAAATTCAAAAGTAAAAAGGTACAAGTAAAAGATCGCAATCAAAATGGTCAATCGAAATTTGTTGGAGCACCAAAAAATATCATGCAATGCTGTGAACAACATGATAGATATTGCTAAGATGCTAAACATTTCATCGTCACAACAGTTTCCAGAGTATTGACCAATGAAATAAATCTAACAATAATTCTACCAGACGGGTGCCTTTTTCCCTTAGAAATGCTTGAGAGAAAACGCACTTTAAATGGCCAAATGGTATATATAAAAATGAAAATTTTTCAAAAAAGATTTGATAAACTTGATTGATAGATGTCGTAACATGGGTGGAGTTTTTTACTGCCTAAAAGGAAGATCGAGAATAAAATGTGGAATCAAAGAGGAAGCTGTCGCCCTATTATTGCAAAGAGAAGCTAGGGCTCCAAATATGATTTATAAATTTTCTTTTTATTGAAGAGGTTCATTAAAACTTGTACATAGAGCCAAAGGAAAACTATCAATGGTAACTTTTATGTTAAGTTTCACTCAGGAAAGTTAAGCAGATTTCCTGCAAAGCAAGTCCAAATACCGGTCCTCGGGATATTTTTCTGTACCTGACAACGCCGCTGCAAATAAATTTTACGATTTTGAAAAATCGCATTGCACTAAAGTTTGTAAGCATTCTAAATGCATTCAATCTTATTAGGAATAATGTTTAAAGCTGAACACGATTCGTAAAAGAAATTTGTCCGCCACATTCGATTGGACTCTCGCTATATCTGAGGACCCCTATATATACAGGTCTGGTACAATCACTAGATTTAGCTACGTAGCTTGAATCATCTACATAGCTTTATTTACCTACCTGAAGTAGCTTTATTTAGCTACTAAATCAAACTAATTTCTTATATTAGCATTTTCCCAGAATGTGCAGAAAATTGCACTTTGATGCAGTGATAATTTTCAACTTTGAACATCTGAAAACAATTCATGAAAAAATCACTCTTGGAGATGTGTCTTTTCTGCGCAATTGCAATCAAAGTTCTAAAGTTTTGGAGCTATATACAACAGTTAATTTGTGATCTAACAGTTACTTCTTGAGTGAAATAACAAAGAAAACCAGTTTTGGTTAACATGAGCACAATGTGAAGTAATATTACTTATCCACGCCTCATCGCACACAAGATGGTGTACAGTTACTTAAACAATGGAAATACATATTTTCCTTAAAAGTGTTCAAACGCAGCAATGTTAAAACTCTCTCTGCTTTAGGTTGCTTTTTAAATGATACCTAGAATAAATATTATTAGAAATTTACTTTCGACTTTATGTCTTTTTAAAATAAGAAGCAAAATTGTGAAAAGTTGCCTTGAAATAGCTAAATAAAGCTACCTGCGGAAGGAAAATAAAGCTACGGTAGGTAATTTTAGCTACGTAGCTAAATGCACTGATTGTACTGGACCTGCTATAGAGCCGCTCACTCAGTCACTGGTCAGTGTAACCAATCGTCACCGGTGTAGACGGACGTATGCTATCAGTACATTGAACCAGGTTGAGTGCTTTTTATAGGTATTTATCAGCTACTTAAAATCTAGCTTATGACCTTGTTAATCAACGCACTTTTTTGTTACTCTGTGTAATAATGTAACTATGAAAACACCTACCTTGTTCAAATCCTGAAAAGCACAGGACTTCAGTTTTGTTCGATAAGAACGTGTTTGATTGGTTATGCTCTGTAATAAAAGGCGGGGTCATTGGAAGGTCATTTGATTACGGTTCAGAGTTAAGTTCTCATGAACAGGTCGAGACCACTAGATTTTCTGATGTCAGCATAAATTTGCATGTTAAATTAGCTATCTGTTTACTTTACCGACTGTTGAATGAGTCAACAATGCATTGTGGGCTACTACAGGTATCAGTACGAACTTTGGTGTATTGAAAATAAAGAGGAAATTTAATTGTCCCCTTGGAAACTCATTTTCAATTCTGTTTCGATATTAATGAAAGAAATATTGAAAATGATATATAATCTTTCATTTCTATGCTCACATTTACAAAATTTTCTTTCTGAAGCCTTCGGTTATACCAACTTGTAATACAACGGCGTAAACTATTGCTCAAAGAGACGTAGGTACTATTGTGTCGATAAAGCAGTGATTGTGTTTTTTTTTTTCACGTGATATACATGTACATAGTTTTAGACAGTAGTATAATATGCGCAAGTATTATTTAACTCCTCAATATCATCACTAAGTATTTATTTATATTCAAACGTTAAAGCGTTTGTACGGTATTTGTAGCGACTATTAATCATATAAAACAGCTCCAATATTATATGTGAGCATGGAACAGTGTCTTTGGAATATAATCTTTCAATTTCAGACTTATAAAGTAAAAAAGAAACTGTACAGTTTTTCCGGTGACCAAGTAAATATTATGCAGTAGACCGACAAAAACCACATGTCGCTGTTGAATCGTAAACACGTAGTAGCCCGACATGCTTTGCGATTCATTCAGTTGATTGGGGAATGGGTTTGACGAAAACATAGTCACGTGTTGAAAAGTGCCTTCCATAAAAGGTAGTGTACCCGACCTGTTTAATAACGAAGTAAATCCTGCTGCCCAGATTCTGTTCATTTATTATGTTGAATATAGCATTAGATGATATGAAAAAAAATTGAGAAAATATCAGTAACAATTTACATGCATAAATATTTAGCAAAACAAATAAATGGGTTCTATAAACATGCTATTCTGTGTAATAAATAGATTATCAGATACTCAAAGAATTTATACTTTAAGCTTCATTTATTAGTAATGAAGTTAAATTCAGTTTATCCTAATAAAATTACCTTAAAAGTCAAAGATGTATGGGTTATCGGAAAGTATAGGATAGAATAAAGAAATAGAAGTCAAGTTACAGTCATGCAAACCATATGTACAACCTACTCCTAATCTCGCATCATTTTGTAGTTCTCTTGAACCTGCGAGGGGGAGACGAAGGAACCTTAATGTCCAAACTTTCGGAAAAATTGTAACCACTGGTACCCTGTTTTCATCCTGTTCTTTAAATTCCCTAGAAGATGAACTTGCTTCATCAGGTTCACCACTAACTTCATCTATAGATGAGTCTGCAGTAATCTGTTCAGCTTCACTAGCTGTTTCAGGTATGGAAACTGTTTCCTTCAAGGAATGAGAAGCGTCCTTAATTCTCGACATCAATGTCGTGTCCACTCTTGTCATTCTGATCGCCGCCCCCACCCCCCTTCCTCGTCTGATGGACACTCTAGGCACTGGTTAGACTTTCTTGGAGGAAAAAATAAGAATATCATCATCTAGCTGATCATGGCCCTGATTTAATTTCACAGGTTGACTGTTGTTTTCAGGGACATACTTGGTCATCAGGATTTAAAGTGACATGGGGAGTATAACTAGTGTCGTTACTGTCTTATTGAGGTGTATGCATGTATTTTTGAACCATGCAACCTATTTCATTCCAGTTATGCTTTTGTTTTGTTGCCTTCCTGATATACTTTATTTTAGCAAATTGTTCATGATCGTCCTATTCCTGTGAAGGCAGGGTAGATTCGAAATTAGCTCTTTGATCTGAATGCTATCGTTCTGAAAGACCATAGTGAAGAATAAAGTTGTTTTTACAGAATTATAATTTTTTATGATTTTCACGACTATATTTCGGGGAAACATTTTTTAAACAACGTAAACATGCTAATCTCAGGTTTGATTTTATATTTGATAATATTTCGTGATAATTTTCATTCCATGCTAAAAAAAAAAAGTTACATATGTTACTTTCAATCATGCACAGTTTATTTATACACATGTATATATATACGTCTGTTTCATGATTAAGCAGAAAACTTTTTATTTTCTATTTTATTTTCTACAATTAGGTAAGTTTTTTTTATGTATAACGCAAATCTTAATCATTTTTTCTTCACCTAAATGATAGTTTTTACGCACACTCGGTAGGCTTATTATACAAATCAATTATTACATTATTTAATCAACTTTATAGAAACAAAGATGATGCATTTCCGAAGTGTTGGTATTTTACTTTTGTTTTTATGGATCAGAAATGCGAAAACTTCAGGTAAACTCTAAATTTATTGTTCTTTTAGCTTTTAATTATTTTTTTTTTTAAACATGCCAGAATGATACATTCTTTCATATTCATTATATCATGTAAATTTTGAATTTACTGGGGGGGGGGGGGGTTAATGCAAAATTTACAACATGATAACTTGTAAATTTTTCATTTACCTCCCCCGAGTAAATAGAAAATTTACATGATATTTAGACCAGACTTTTGCTCT